AGAGCGATGGTGCGGCGGTGCGACGGTGCGGTGTATTTGACTCAATTCACTACAATGATTGTGGTTATGTATGTGGTGCTACTGGTGTTACTTGGTTATTTACGCTGCTATTGAGCTGCTGTTGCAGCGCTAAAGCCATGCCTTGCCATGCCATGCCATGCGTCGTCTTCGTCTTCATCATCTTCAGCCCCATCGTCATCTCCACACGCTGCTATCGCGTAATAATTGTATCCATGCTTTTGTTGTTGTTGTTGTTGCTGTTGCTGCTGTTATTGTTGTTTAAGTCCAACGTGTTTTTAAGATCTTTTGGTGTTACTTTTTTTCGTATTGTTCTTATTGTGTTTATGGGGTATTATGGCCATCCATCCGTTGGCATTTACATACATACACTGCGATATTTGTTTGTGGATCTGTGTGCGAGGTGTTTATGCTCTGCATTCGACTGATGTGGATTGCAGTGCGAGCGCAGCCTATAACGACGGAAAACGGTAGCAAACAAGCAAATAAAAGAACAAAATAATCTCATGAACTTGTTCTTTACTTATCAGATTATTTGATCACCTGTGCTCCGTATTCCAATGTACGCGCAAACCTTTTCACAAATTATGAAGGAAAAAACGTAAAGAAAATTTTTTTTCTTTAATTTTTGTTATCGGCCGGAGAATGGGTGCTTTGTTTGTTTGTTTTCATTTTTGTACTGAAAAATTGGCATATAAATTGAAGAAGGATTTAGATAAAGTACACATAACATACTAACATATGACCAAAATTACAGATAGCTGCACTGTATGAAATCTATAACAATGTTTAGAGTCCATCAAATATATAGGGTCATACATTTTGTGGTTCCGAAAGTAAACGTAAATTAAATAAAATATTTAATACAGTATTTTAATATATTTTTTTAAAGCTTTTCTTTCATGAGCTTCTAAATATCTAAGGGGCATTTTTTATAGACAATCATATGTCTATATCACTATCACTATGTGTTACTTTTGGCTCAGAACACCTAAACAATTTGGGCACATCGTTGACATTATGCAAACTGGTACTGAGTTCTTTTTGTGATGAACTTTTTAATAAATGATGGGAAGACTCTACGATATGCAGGCATCTATGTCCAATTTGACCACACACCAATAGAAGAAAATCAAACTCTCTCATAGAGAGATATCAATCCTGCAGTATGTTTACTTACAAGTCATTGTATTTTAGGTAACCATAATAGGAGTATAAATCTTTCTTTCAACTATATCTGCCGCAGTTGTGGTGAGGACGATGATTTGCTCTGCTTCTGTCCGGTACATGCGCGGCACCGCCTTAACACTTTATGGGCTTTCTTTTTTGAGAAACTTGGCTAATTTCAGGATGTCCCTTTGCATACCATCATAAGCTTTGCCAAAGGTTCTAGATGATTTTAACACTTGGGTTTTTAATAATACGATAGCTAGTACAATGGGCCTATAGGCTTAAGTGGATTCTCTTGAGATCGTCGGTATAACCTAACCTAAGTTTATGCTCTATTTAGTTAAGATTACATGGCATGTTATGCGGAGAGTCATTTCACATTTGTTAATTACCTACGTTTAGTTCACTTTTTGTACATTTTTTGTGTGCCTAAGTTTAAAAGATATTTGTTTTTTGATCGAACACGAATCGATGATTGAAAATCTCTTCAAAAGGATCTAGTAATAAAAGGGTCATGTTATACAAACAGACGTGGTTACGTCTAATTTGAAATTGTTGTTTTGAATACAAATTAAATGATTAAGAATGTAGAGAAAGAGAGAAATTTTGATTTAAGTTTGGTCACGGTGATATAACTTTGTCCAGTTAGTCAAGACAGGCGCCGCGTGATTTAAGTTACGAACGTTTTTATTGCATTCTATTTAAAAGTACTTGAACATGTTTTATATGTAATGCTGCTAGGAGACGGTACTCTCCACTAGTAATTCTTGTTCGTCTTTAAAGTGGCTACAATGAAATATCATGTATTATACACTCTCAGTTATGTGTTGACAATTTGATAATAAGAACAATATGCTAGCTGGAATCGGTGACGATATTCTAAGATACACCTGTTCAATATCTTCAATATCTATATCAAATTAAAGTCCACTTTACTATGTTTTCTTTTCACTCATTCTATAAAGTTTGGGAAGAGTGCATAGATCCTGCGTCGCTTGCAAAGGTGGAGGACTGGTTTCACTTTTGTTGTCATTCACTAACCTAACCTAACCTAAGCTACTAATTACCGGCTATATAGAGAGGGCATAGAGATGGAGAGAATATGTTAGGGTTGGTTATAGTTAAGGACCTCAGTTATACTATTAAGCGGATTATGTTTGAGAGGTGTATGGTATATTTGATGGTAGTATGCATGAAAGTGACATTCTTAATGTTATTTATTTTAGTGATACCGCTGTACTCAAGTTAGGTGACACTGTGATATGAAGATCCAGCAAGAAAATCATAGCGGTTTCTTTTAACTATTGAAATTATAGTTTCTTCTTAAGTTTTGTAGATATTCTTTAGTTATCCAATGTATACACATGTTATATTAAGTTTCTGGGAGAACTTGCCGGTAATGGAACTGAACCAATTATAGCCATCCGTTTAAACACTGCTTAAAGGTTACCGCACTAGAAAAGTGAATGCAGTTCGTACACTCTTTCCAAAATGCTTTCACATCTATCATTGTAACATATCTTATGTATCCTTTACGAGTGATTGAGTGCTGAGTGCGTTCCTACCTTGGTGAATTACTGCACTGCACCCAGTATCGTCACGTGTACTGATTTGTATGTTTGCCTTTCTCATTTCAACATGTGCTTCTACTTTTGTTCAATTTGTAGGTATGTTTGCCTCTGGATATGAGTGGTGCTGCACTCGTACGCTCCTGTAAGCCGTGATAATAATCTGAACGCGTATTTCGGTAGCCGCGGCTACACGACGACGTTTCTTAATCTGTTTATGTCACGTCGTTTATTTTGGTTTTGGTTTTAGTTTCATTATTATTATTATTTTGTTGTTTTTGTTGTATTTTTTATTGTAATTTTTCAATATTTTGTTGTTCATATTTGAGTCGTTCTTTCTGGTGCTGTTTTGATTGTTTATCTGGTGTGGTTTTTGCTTCTTTTTGGATTTTTACTTCGGATTGCAATTTGGAACGTGGTTATATTTGGTTGCTTTGCCTGCTGTTCATTATCTGGCAACGAAAATATTTTTCATATTCAAAACGTGATTTTGTGGCAACAATAAACAAAATATAAGACCAAAGAACAAAAAAAAAATAAATAAATTAAAATATAAAAATTAGTGAAAAGGACTCTTTTAAATTGTTGTTGATGTTGTTGTTGTTGATTGCTATTGACGCTTCTGCGTTGTTCCTCAAAGGTGTAAAAGTGTACCACTTAGTTTCCTTGCCCAAAGTCGTAGCTCTTGTCTGAACCCTCTTATGCGCAGGTACGTTGGTTTGAATTTCTTCATTTTTTGGGGATTTTATTTTTTTTTTATTTTAATGAAAATCAGCTCTGTTTGCGCAGTTAATACCAAACTAAAGGGTTTCCATTTTGCTCATTTTATTTCATTTATTTTTTTTTTTGTACTTTTATTGCTTTTTAAGTTTTTTGTTATATTTGTTTTTTTTTTTGCTTAATTTATTGTTTTGGGTTTTTATGACACTGATTTTAGTTTTATGCGTTGCTAAACAAGTAACCAAAAAAACAAAAACAAAAAAAAAAACGAAAAGATAATGATCTTGCCGGCAGCTGGTCTGGTTGGTTGCTGGCTTGATGTGGCCTAACTCAGCCAAGCTAAGCCAAGCCAGACTTGGCCAGGCCAACTGTCGGCAATATCTCTCCATACATCCATGGGTTGCAGCAACTAGCAGCAAGCAACATTCGCAGAAATTGCGCAGCAGCTCAAATATTTCTTTCGAAATTTAAATGTGATGTTTTTTCTTCTCCACATTCGTGTGATTGTTGCCTTAATCAATCTACTTTTCATTCACGTGAAGTGACAAAGAATTTTTCCATTGAACACTTCATTTTGATATCCTGCTGCTTTCTGAAGAGGTCCTTAGAGCCTGCACAAAGAGCATGAGCATTTCGTTATGCTCACACAATGACAACAAAAACTTCAAACTTCATCAATCACAAATGTTTCACTCCGTTGAATTGTGCGTGAATCCTGGCATGTCTTATCACCAAATGAGTAGGCATACATTCACACTTAAAGGACTAACAGCCATTGCAAGTTCATTAAAAGTAGATTTTTGTTTGTCATGGTTGCTTTTTTGTTCATTGTTGCATTTTGCAAATTGACAACACCTTTTCGTTTACATCACCAACAATTTCAGTTTTCAACAATGAAGAAGTCCTTTCTAAAATTCCGCTGAAAACCCATAACGCCACTGCATGTGCAGTTAGTTACCAATTTTTACGTACATCATTGAAACGTACCCTTAGAATCATAAAAATCACGTAAATTCATTGAAAGGACACTTGAGTTTATTGTAGAAATCCTTTGTTCCGTGTTTTTTTTACTTTGCCATTGCGGTACTTAATACTATAAATCCTGTTCGTTTGTCTAGTTTTGCACGCAGAAGGTGCGATCAATGAATTTCGAATTTACAACGCCAAAAACAAATTTGAAAAGAAGGACCTAAGTGTTTCTCATTGTTAGGCACTCGACATATCCTTGAAAGGTTTATTGTCTTATGCTTTTGTGCCCTTTGTGTCTGTGCAGATCAACGTTCAAGTACTCAACCTGCCGTTCGGCGTGTTTATTGGATTTTTTAAATGATTTCCAGGAATGTCAATTATTTTTCACACTGCAATGTACCAGTACCAGTACCAGCACTAATATGCTTGGCACTTGCACTAATGTTAGTAGGTGTAACTTCTAACAATACATGATTAACAATATCTAAACATATATTTCATAATTATATATAAATATAGTTAATTTTATTTTCTTTTCTCCTCTATTAATTTTAGGTAATCGACATTGATCCATTTTGGGTACCCACCACAGAAGAGGAAATAACGCACTTTGGTGAAAAGGCGGATTCAGCGAATCGTGCTAAGGTTTATATGGACAGCGTTAGACATCGCAAAGGATTATACGTAGATGAAAAGGTTGTGGAACATGCCGAAAAACAACGCACTCTGTCAAAGAAAAAATAAAACAGTGTCCTATATAGTATTATACTATTATACTATATAAGTAGAGATATTACGAGTTTCAGAATATATATTTTTTTATAATATAGTAATTTTTAATAAAAAAAATGCTTCTAATATATTTTTTTGAGTTTGATTTGTGTTTAAACTGTTGTTGCGGGAAGAAAACGGAAATAAAAGTGAAATATTAAAGATTCTTTTTTAAATTTAATTAAAATAATTTATAATTAAATTAATTAATTAAAAAAATTATTATATATTATAATATAATAAGTTTATAGAAGAAGTGAATTACAACAAAAGAAATTATTTTTGTATTATTTTAATAAAATTGATAGCAATTTGGCAGGGCACGAATTCTACCCTTGGTAATTGCAGTCTAAAAAAATTAATCCCAATTAAGTAAGTGTAAGAAATAATCCAAAGCCAATTCCAAATAAGACTAATTCGAAACCGCTGTATGGTATGGTTAATTAAAAATTTGATTAATTATAAAATAATAAAACTTTGTTGTTGTAATTCACTATTGTTCAAAATAAGTCTCTTTTCAAACAATAGTTTCTATTAAGTAAAAAATAGTTGAAATCATTTTTTAAATATAGGTGTTTGTAATCACACAATCTATTTAGAATTATAATATCTGATTTGGTAAAGTAAATCCTTTGGTATATTTGCAGGATATTAGTGGAATAAAAGCACGTGCACTGGAACATCTGTATGCTGTCAACATGAACATTGAATTGGATTGTCTAAAGGAAACAATCGCCCAGAAATGGGTAGCTTTGTTCAATAAGAGAGGAATTGTGCTTCATCAGGACAACGTCAGGTCGCATACGTCGATATCGACTTTGATGACTCGCTAAAAGCTCCGGGAGCTTGGTTGGGAAGTTCTTCCTATAGTCGAGATCTGTCATCAAATGATTACCATCACGACAAACGATTTTTCTGGTTAAAAATTCGAATTCGAATGAACTGGCACTTCTGTATACTGTCAACATTAACATTGGATTGGATTGTCTAAAGGAAGCAATCGCCCAGAAATGGGCAGCTTTCTCCAATAAGAGAGGAATTGTGTTTCATCAGGACAACGTCAGGTCGCATACCTCGATATCGACTTCGATGACTCGCTAAAAGCTCCGGAAGCTTGGTTGGGAAGTTCTTCTTATAGTCAAGATCTGGCATCAAATGATTACCATCATGACAAACGATTTTCCTGGTTAAAAATTCGAATTCGAATGAACTGGCACTTCTGTATACTGTCAACATGAATATTGGATTGGATTGTCTAAAGGAAGCAATCGCCCAGAAATGGGTAGCTTTGTCCAATAAGAGAGGAATTGTGCTTCATCAAGACAACGTCAGGTCGCATACCTCGATATCGACTTCGATGACTCGCTAAAAGCTCCGGGAGCTTGGTTGGGAAGTTTTTATTATAGTCGAGATCTGGCATCAAAGGATCATCACCATGACGAACGATTTTTCTGGTTAAAAATTCGCTTCAAGCTTGTGAAAATTGACTGTCTCAATTTTTTGCTAATAGGGACAAGGACTTCTATGTAAAAGGAATAATGAAATTATCATCAGAATTACAACAAATTATTAAACAAAACGGCGCATATTTGACCTAAATTGGATCATTCTAATTATGGATTTACCATAGTAAATTGTTTTGGTGTTTGTTTCGATAAACACATATCTATAAGTACCAAACATTCAGACAGATCAGAGAAGTTTGAATATCTTGCATTGGGTTATGTTTTGATATTTTTGCAGTTTTTTAATGATGGATTTAACTGAATACTAGTAAAAATAAAACGGTCAAATATGATCCAAATTCATTCAGCACATTGTTCTCTAGGTGCTTCAGCTGCTCACCTGCCTTCACTAGTCTCTAACATACTATCGTATAGTGTTGTATATATCGTACATCAAGTATACTGTTCTCACTTCCTAAACTTGACCATTCTACTGGAAACGAAGTGTTCCACTACGTCTTCTTCCTTCACCTAGCTCTTTGAACCACTCTTTAGCCACAGTATCGTCTTTCGTCTTGAAAATATGATAACACTGCTGTTTTTTTTTTTGCAATCCGCAATTCGATCTGCTTGTATAATCCCTTTGAGGGGTGGTGAACGGCATTTGGTTGTCGTGGTTGACTTGGTCGTTCTTGGACAACGTCAGCAAAGCCGCTGAAATTTAATTCTTTAAAGGTTGTTATTGTTGTGAAAAAATTTGTACAACTCTTGGCTTAGAGGCCAATACTTAGTTCATATATTACAGTATAAATATAACAATATAGTATCAATACGAGATCTTTTAGAAAATTTGACGCAGTGATAGGTTTTTATTTCACTATTTCACTATATTCACTATATATTCTCTATATAAGTTTTTTATGTATTACTCATCTTTTTTGTCCCCTGAGTGGTAAGTACTAAAACCCCATGTGAGAACCCACCGCCGCATATGCTCTTTATTGCCTAGGCTGCTGAAATAAACGTTCAAATTTGAAGTAATTAAATTAAAAATATTCTTTTTTTAATAAAACACTTTATTTCGGTGGAGAACTACAAATAAACGTGGATCAAAAACGTTCTGATATGTCCAGTTTAATATAAACTTCTGACTTACATACGTAAAACTACTTAACAAATGTTTCTAATGGAATTGTACAAAATGATTGATATAAAATTCATAAAATGTCTTAACTTAAATCTATACAATGCTACAAGGATACTTTAAGATTTACGTAGAAAAGGAACTTAGTTGTAGAAAATCAAAAACGGATGTAATATTTTTAATTAATCGCTTCAATGGACTTTCGAGTACTAGTCTCCGTTTCTGGATTAGCATTAACCACTGTGCCGTTGTTTTCATTATCAGTAATAAGGCCACTTTCGTTTTCTGTAACTTCCGGCACAGCCAATTGTTGATCTCCCAGTACAATGTGTATACAACTGAAATGAGGAACACACGCATGTAATAAATAGGCTCTTATATTTTTCTTTGTTAATTAGTACTTACAGCACTAGAATAAAAACGGCCAATTGTGTAGCTATAGTCAATAGAAACACCCCGTCACCGTTTGTATTGAGTGTAGCTTGATAAACTTGCGAATAACAAATTCCACTTATAAAAGGCGCTGCATTATCACAAACTGAAAGCAAAGCAAAAATCTTGCCACGTTCCGATAGTGGCACAATCTTCGAAGTCATCGCGCGAATCATTGGACCCACAATTGGACCCAAGCTGCAAACCAATGCACCCGCATAAAACACTTCTCCTGTGCTAGCGAAGTAGTAAAATAAGCGTGCAAATATGTGCGCCCAGGCACCAATAAATATAATGCTCTAAAGCGTCAAAAATAAATAAAGGTAACTAGCTAGAAAGGTCAATGTTTATTAGTAATTGAATTTTTACCGTGTCCCTCCAGCTTAGACATTTGTTCATAATTGGCACTGCTACCAGCATTGCAACCACATACGCAGTTGACTTGACGGTTTTGAAGGTACTAAATACGTCAACTTCCCAATTGAACTTAAATGTCGTATAGAGGTATAGATAGCCGTTCTCATCGCGTTGGAAAGTATAAAAGAACATGGACAGTAATAGGAGAATAAGGAATACACGCCGATGTCCCAGACGTTTTTTGACTAAAACTGAAAGCGAGTCCTTAACATGCTGTCGATCAAAGTAGTCAGCAAAGAACCCACAGCAACCGAGTTCACTTAACGGCCGTTGCTTTGGCGTCGTTTGCCACTAAAAGAAAAATTTCAATATGAATTCAAAAATAAAATTATCCTTCAATTAACCTTCAAAGCAAACAACGTGTAAATAATAGACAACGCCAACAAGGAAGCATTAACAGCAAACATATTGGCATATGACTTTTTAAGTACATTATTGTAGAGATATGATCCTGAAAAAGTTAGAATTAAGCTTTGACTTAAACGCTTTAGTTAGAAAGTAACAAACCTAGAGCAACGCCAGTTGGCATTGCACTCAAGTAGCAAATATCCAATATGGTTACTCGTAAAGTGCGATTTTTTAGTGTTGACACATCGGAGATATAAGCAAAGCAAGATGCAAATATAGCAACATCCGCGCCCGTTATCGCCGATGGCAGAGTAGCCGTGTAGATAATATACTCCACTGGCCATGTCTTCATTTTGGCATTTACTATTATCATAACCGAATAAATAAACTTGCCGCATAAACCCATCAGCAAAGGAAATTTACGACCTCGACGATCAGAAAATGAACCCAGAAATAAAGCCAAAATTATAGGGAAGACATGTGCCGATATATTTTCCCATTGGTAAAATTTTGCTGTTGTGACCTAAACCATCTGTATATTTTTGCAAACCAATCAATCGAACCCATATACTCATTATACTCACTTGAACTTTTTCTTTGTACTCCTTGTACTCATCTGCCCGAATGTTGCTGCATATTTCATCGGAGAAATTGTTGTTCACCCGACAGGCTTTTTGGAGGAAAAAATCATGTTCGACAACTGAGGTTATCATAAAGGCAAACATGTATAGAAACATTGTTGGCTCGACACTGATTTTTTTGTACCATGGCGACATGCAAGTTCGTTTGAACTGTTGCCATTTACTCAACACTTCTACACTCGCTGCAGAACCATCCTAAAAGTATGTTAAATAATATTAAAATTAAAGTTCATAGATAAAGGAGATAAGACAAATATTTTTAAATACGGTCTACTATCTAAAATAAAAATGCTATACGTGATCGACATGAAAAGTTTCATAAACGAACATGAAGAAAGGATCTTTCATACTGGCAGTGCTCTTATAGTTTGTACTTCGAGAACTCTGATATTTCGTTTCACATGTGTTCATGAACTCCGATATATCGTAAATTTTTTTTTGTGGAAAATCTTTCTGAAAAGTGTGAAACTGTTCAACGTTTTATTAGGTATTTATAGGTTTCAATGCAATTATGACATGACTGTTGGAACAATAATTGACGTGACCGGTATTTACAAAGCCTGATGTAAAATAAATGATATGAAAGTCTTCTAATACGAGTTGAAGTCGAATACCAACTCTTCAGCTCTATTTGTGTGAGTTAGAGTTAGTTGCCAACAATGTTTTGTATCCCTCTTAGCAAGAAATTTGAATATAGAAGTTAGTTTTCGTCAAGTATTTCGAGTATTAAAGCAGACTTTAATTTTTGTTTCACATATGCAAATATAAAACTATGTTAAAAAGGGATGATTAAAATTAACATAACATATACCTATATTATATTCAATTTATGTGACACATACAACTCATAATTATTGTGCCAATGAAATAGCTAGGTTTTTCCTTATAATCCTAGTTGAGTTCAATTTAAATCTCCCCTATCCCAAATCCATTCTTCCTATTTAACAGTCATCTCACCGCTCAGTCAACCATTACATATCTACATCCTAACCCATATGTATACCTTATCACAATTCCTTTCCTTTTACTTGCTGTCTAGATTCCTGTAGACTACAATATGAACAATAACTCATAATTATTACTTATGTAAACTTTTTTTATATTTCTACTATTAAAGTTTATGCCAAATATCATCATTAAAATAAAATATTATCATTATTATTATAAAAATCTTGTATATTTATCTCATATAGTTCGTTATTTCTGTCATCTAATCCTGTGAGTTTTTACCCCACCTTTGGATATAAGGTAATTAGTTTGCTGTCAAGTTCTGTCTGGTAATGATATATAGACATCGCTTTTGTTCCATCTATTGTACTTCTATTACAAAACGTAATATCTGTGCTACTAATTCTTTCAGCTTAGGACAGACTTAAAACTGTCTCTTCTCATTTCTTATTTTATTAACATTGTCGAAAATGGTGCTGCCATAAAGTAATTTTCTGCTATATATAGCACTATTTTTTTAATCATTTCCATTGTATTATATGAATCATAAACAATATTCGGGAAGGTGAGCGTAACAGCATTTAATATAAAGACTGTTTTATCTGAATTTTTAAAAAATTATGATGATAATTAGTACGAAGTCGATTGCGACAATTTTATGTCAATCGGGAATTTTTATTGAGTATCAAGTTTTGTTAATGAAAAAAATGTTAACCAAAATATAAAGCTTTTCAAAAACTTTACACTAATTTAATATCTTTAATAAAGTATAAAAATTTACTCTGTATGAATTGTTAAAATAAATAAAAGGTTTTGAGTATGAAATACGAATACATAACAAAACGTTAAATTTTAATTTTGTTAATAATATTTGTTACTTATTTCGTTAGCAAAGGATTAATGATTGCTGTGGTTTAAACATTATTGGAAAAAGGCAGATCAATAATACTATCCAACAAATTTTGATTTTTTTGCTGAAAACTAAACGACTCACGTCTGTATCGGCCAAGTAAGTAAGCAAGTAAAGATCAAAATAAGTTATTTCTGAAGTACATTGGTGCGCTAGGCCTTAAAATTTGTTCAGCGGTTTTTAAGATATGGAGTTACTATGGATTCTATCCATATGTCAATATTTTGATACCAAAGACTTTTTTCACTAAGTCTATTGGAAAATTTCATACACCGAATGAAAGGTAATATTGTAGATAAAGTAATATTTATTCTATACGTATCACTAAACGGAAATTACAACTGCGGAAGAATATTTCAGTAAGCATATAGGGTTCTTTCAATTTTTAGCAAAATATACAAACACAATGATATATGCAAAAATATATGCAAAAATATCGTCAAAGTCAAGCTAGTGTAAACGCTGCATAATAACATGTTTAACTCCAAAAATCGAAAGTACGTAGATATATATACATTTTAAGTCGTATTTGAATCAGAAGCCGTATTTGTTTTGAAAGATCGAATGTATTTTCATGAAATTTAGAAACACTAAAGTGCAGTAATATGCGAAAATCATTTATCATTAAATGAGTTGACAAAATCTGCACCAAAATTGTAGTTCTATTTTATTGTAGTTTTATTTATTATTTTTAAAAGAGATTTCTTCGAACAGTAATGAACTACACCAACAGAAATTAGTTTTATATTATTTTAAATAATTGAATTTTTGGCTGACCATACAGCTGTTTCGAGTATTGCCAAATACTCAGCATCAGTGATCTTGAAAATAATTCTTGTATTATTTGAATTCGCAAGTAATTTTTTTGAGACTGCAAGTACCAGGTATCGAACTCGTGCCCTGCCAAATTTGAAGCTCAGAGCGCACCTTAACCAACTTTGGACTTGGAGGCACATTTGGAGTTTTGTTATTTTGCTATGAAAGTTTTATTAAAAAATTCACTTGCTGTGTTTATATTAGAACGAATTCATAAACCAACTGTAGAATAATTGAATTAATTTATTCTATATTTTTTTGTTGTTAAATTTCAATACTATTCTGTTTGTAGAGTCATTATTTGTTGTATGACTGGTTCTTTCTTATGTATATAACGTAATCTAGGTACGTAATACTGAGAAAGTCATGCTAATATTAGTCCACGAGTCGCACGGGCGAGACCAATATTTTGTGAATATAATCTGTAATTCAATTCATTATTTTATTTATATTATTTTTATATATTTCCACACTTTCCACATAAGTAGCTAACGTATATAGGTCACATTTTTACTTAATAGAATTTAGTTAAACTCGAAAAAAGTTGGTTTATTTTTCATCGTTTCAGATTCGCTGTAAACTTTACATAAAGCGACGTTTTTCTCATATTCGTAATGTTGGCAACTCTACTAATACGAACAGCAGAGAAAATATTTTACAGAGTCGTAAAGCTGCTGTAAATGCTTACGATTGCAGAATGTGACTCCGGTGTGGTGTCAAATGAATTTTTAAATAAACAAATGTTATTTTTTTTTAAATTATTTTTATCTTTTATGAAAAATTGCTGATTGAAGAGAATTTACACAATTTGTTTTTATGCGACACAAGCAATTATTTTTATTTCTCATATTTCTTTAATATTTATTTTAATGATGTATATAATACACTTTTATTAACATTAACTTAACAGAACTTAACAACAATTTTTTTAGTAATTTCAAGTACCTTACAAAATAGCTTAATTGATAAAAAAATTTATTCACTGATACGGAACAAATGTTTTTAAGATTTAAAAATATCAACAAGACAAGAAGACACGTGAATAATTTTTGCGCTTGTTTGTTTTGTTTATTTTCAATTGAGCGGAACACGTTTCTGGGTTGTTCTCTCTTTTCGTGACATAAACAATGCGCGGCAATTGGCAGCTGCCAATTATTTTAATATTTCAAAACCACATTTCACTTCTTTTCATTTAATTAACATGAATAATTTTTTATTATATTAGTTTCATTCAATTAAAATTTTATTTTAAATTCACCTTCAGTTTCAATATATTTAATAAATGAATAAATTTACTGGCTCACCTCACTAGCGTCCATTCTTGACGATTCTCGTATCAACTGCGGTAGCTCAGCTGCTTTCTGTAGAACGAACTGTGCTTACAGCACCAAATGTTATGAGTGGAAAGCTCGCCAAAAGCTTTTACGGCTGCAAATATAAGTCAAAAAGCTTTATTGCAATAAAACATTCGCTTAGGTAGTTTTTTAATAGAAAACAATATTAAAATTAATTTACTATATAATAATATGAGGATTTTTATTCTGTATGCTAAACATATGCTAATTAACGAAAATGTCATAGTGTCGAGTTAAATATTTTTAGCATGCTAAATAACAATCGTGCAAAGATGAGTCCTTTGTATTTAATATTATTTTTATAATTAGTATTAATATTTATATAATATAATAACATTATAATCTGTTAAATATTTATATTGAATAATATATATACATAATTAATAATATAATTAAAATAATAAAACATATTTAATATAATTTTTGTATATAGTACATATTATTATTTATATATCATAATAAAATAATCTGTTAAATATTTATGTTAAATAATATATGGATATAATTACAATATAATATATAACATAATATAAAATAATGTATTGTTATTATATAGTATATAATTATTAATAATAAATAAATAATTTAATGTGATATTGTAAATTTAATATAATAAAAATCACTTCAAATAAAATATCAACAGAATTCTGCAATTATTTTCTAAAAACATTAATATTACTGTTTTACCTATTTGTAAATGATAAATAAAAATTTTATTAATATTGTAATTTTTATTGTATTGTAATAATAGAAATCAATAACAAAAAAAATAAAGCATATAATAATATTGTTATATTTCTTTGTTCAGAAACTTTTATTTTATTTATTCAATTATACGTTCTTAATTACAATTACTTAAATCTCTATATTTTTTGTTAAAAAAGTGCACGCGTCTCCTTACTATCTTTTCCACATAAAAACAGCTGATCACCTTAGTGGTGCCATGGGGCTCATATTCAGTTTAAGTGGAATATGTGACAGATTTACGCTTGAACCAAACTTAAACAAACAATAAGAACAAATAACAATAAACAATAATGAACAATGTTTATTAAATATAAAACACTTATTTAATATTAACTTTTTAAATATAGCCGAAACTTAATATCAGTTTTTGTCAATAGAGAAAATTAATCATTGTGCACAGGGTAAATTCTTAATGAAGATCGGTTAATATGGATAATGTACTATGTTATATTGTGTGAGTTTGATCCATTATCGAATCCTTGCAAGAAGGATATTAAAATTACATATTCTATGGTAAGGTAGTGAAGATGCCTGAGAAATATTTCAAGTGAAGGTGTAAAAATAAAGTAAATACCGATTTTGTGAAAGATAAGCGATGTATCAGTTACGTCCTGTGACTACATAAAATCATACTTATACAAAAGCTTTTGTACAGCTGCTTGGTACCATGGAGGTTATCAACCTGCGTTGCCCTAATCCAGAGACATTCGTTCAATTACTTGCTCATATGACAACGACAAAGTCAATTCTTGTTTTAAACCACTAAATCTTCCTCATTATAAAGTCATTAACACGGATAGCAAGTTTATCACTATCTTGAGAAAAATAAATTAGGTCAAATTAAATTCAGCAAATGGTTTTGGAAGAATGTTGATGGACTAAAAGAATTTTGGTAGTTGATTATTTAATACATTGAGTTATATTTTATATGAGGTTTTACGTTTCAAAACGCTTTTTACAAATTGGGAGCCACATTCACTAACAATGTGGCAAAACTATCTTCGAATACCACTTAATAGTCTTAGCCTTTGTAGTATTTTAAAGTGACTGATAAGGATAAGACTAGGATCCAACAACATAGTTTTTAATAATAACAAAAGACTTAGAAGCTTTTTATCTCCTTGACTCAAACTCGAGTTTATCATTAGAAATAGCTAAAGAATACATTACCGTCAGAATATTTTTTCTAGGGATGAGAAAATAGTTTCGTCTGTAAGCCATCTCCAAACTATGTAGTAAATAACAAAATCTGATAAATATTGCGACATTTCGGACCAATAAGATGCAAGAAACTACGTGAAAAAAGACCTAGTAAAGAAAACAATAACAACACATCATATATAACAACACATCACAGACCTCAAAAAATCAAGTTAGGGATTAGGCTTATCCAAAGAACTCTCTTGCTTTCTATCAACATTTTGAAAAAAAAAACATTTTGTGGGTAAGAGACTCACAAATTAAAGGAACTTTGGAATAGATGTATTAGAGCTGAGGGACATTATCATAAATAATAGTCATTCTAATGATTATTAGAATGTTAGAATGTCATTAGAACTAACGTGTGTGACTTATGGAGACAATATTATCTTTATTAACTCCATTCAAATTTATTTTATTTGAACTAAATGTTATTTTCAAAGATCCTTTAATTATTGGAGTTATCAGCCCTATGACTTTTACATTTAAATGACTAAATCACACCTGTTCATTTCTAAAAGGGGGTTTTCGTGGGTTAAAGTTTCTTAAACTTGCTTATGATGGTATCAATCTTCAATGAACGATGGATAATAATGTTTTGTAAATAATATATTTACATCTCTTTAACATGAAAAGTCAAACATTGTGAGAAACATTCCGTAAGGCTTTTGTTATCTTTGGTTTTAGACCACCAATTTGGCTATATTTTTTCCAGGCGGTGGTATTGCCAATCATGTTGTAGGTTTATACTCCTACCCTCGAGATACACATAAGATACACAATACAAAAATATTATGGAACTCTAAAAACAATGCCAAAAAAAAATTTTTCCTTATATATACTCCCCCCATTAGCGCAATGTCTAGTCTATTAATCCTATTGTTAATTATTAGATTAACAGTCTGAGCATACTGTACAGCATCTATGGAAAACACTTTAACAGATAATATATGTACATATAATTATTGCTTTTATTACTGTCATTATTATGTGTTCAGATAATTTCCAACTATTAATTAGTGTTTCAATAAATTAAGAATTTTTAATTAAATTTTAAAAATTATTAAGTATCTGTGAGCTTTTTTTTAAATATTTGAGTTCCTGGTTTTATTGTCAAATAAACGAAATAAAAAATAATAGCTAGTTAAGTATAAAATTAACAAGCTCCATATTTCTAAACAAATAAAATCTCAGTTCTAATTAATTGAGTAAATAAAAATTATTTTTAAATTTTTAAATTATTTAAACGAATACGAGATTTTCTCAAAGAAACTTAATTAGCGTTTGGAATTGCGAATCAGCAGCGCGCATACTATGTTCAAAGATTTTCAAACGCTCAAACGCTCAAACGCTTAAACGCTGAACCGCAAACCGCGAATTCCCGGTTCATTTAATCGTATTTGTCAATAGAAATTATCATGAAAAAATACCAATTATAGTTTCGTATGAAAATCGTTTAGCGTTTGTTAGTGCAAATAAATTGCAAAGTAATTGGCTTAATGAAATCATAAAAAGCCGCTCAACGAGCGACGATTCGGGCACGTCACAGTGCCGCTCCACGCACAGATTGCTATCTGCCGCGATAATTTTTTCAATTTGTCACGGTTGGGGAGTGATAAGTGCGGATACTTCGTGAATGGACTTCACATGATTAAATATTATTAAATATTTATTTTCCCTTTCTTATTGAGCATTTATTGATTTATGGAAATACGAGCACGATTATTCTGTCTGACGGAAGCTTCGCAATCTCTGCGATTCTTGATTGCAATAAATTTTCGTACTCAAATCAATCTATTTTTAAAATATTTCCTTATCACTGCTTTAAAATGGTAATAATTTACGAGTTACTAATTGAGCGAACAGTAGCTAATTATCATAATTATGTCGTAATTACAATATCATAAATAGTTTCGTTTGATGTCAGATTGGCATGATAAGTGTTATTCCACGCCATTCACAAACCAATCGAAGATATTTGACAAATGTATTTTAGTAATAACTGATAAGATACAAGTAAGTACAACAACTTCACTTAAGTACTACTATGGGTAGAAAGTGATTCCAACAATGTTGATTGCGATATTAGATTAAAGTAAATGTAGTATTATTAAGTAGCTTAATACAAATATCTTAAGTAATTGATTGACTTGATGATTAAAATTATAATTATAATAGATAGTTCAGTAGCTAATAATTTAGGTTTCTATTATGAATCGTTCCTTTCGCTTTTTGTTCAGTAACTATCTTTTAAAATTTATTTTTCTAGCAAATCACACACTTTTTGCTTTAAGGCATTAATTATATAGTAATAATTTTATAATATATTCTTCTGATATATTCTATTTTAATTACACTTAATTATTTTTATTTATTTACATTCACTCAGTAATAATTGATATGAGGTTTCTTCACAAAATCACGTCTCAAATAGCAGAAAAACAACTTCTTGTCATAAAAATCTTAGCATAACAATTTTTTTAATATATGTTCTGTATATAAAAGCAATAAATTTACTTCACACAAAAAATAAAATAAATCACAAGAACATTTCAAAAAGAATAACAAAATTCATTAATAACAAAAAGTATCTCAAGTACCCGCGAAATTGTGAATGAGCGTGGAGCGTTCAACGAACCGATCGATCTGCCACACAAATTAAAACTAAACTCAAATCAACTCGCAGTTCCATGTTCTTACACTGCGATAAGCAATGGTTCTATCGAATTGGAAAAGTATCTGTTCGTGTTAGAGAACACACGTTCGGTTCTTATCAAAAGCTTCCAAAAATACTGAATGCGGTAATATGTGACCGAGCAACTTCTAAGTATTAGAATAGTTTAGACAGATTAGCAGTCTCGCTGTGACAAATATTGAATTTAAAAATAAATAATTAATTTATTAATGAACTTCATATTGAGTTATGTAAAGTTAAACTTAAAAAGATTGTGATTCATCATATTCCACAGGTCCACATATGGTTTTGAAAATAAGTACTTTATTATCTGAGATTGAATAATCTAGTAATCACTACAATTGTTTGGTTGAGATAAGTTATTTACAAATCTTTCACAATCGTAAATTCTTTCAATTTATTGACAGAAAGTGTCTTCATGTCACTATTTGTTTCGTTCATCGGAATAGAGGTTAAAGTACTTTCAAGGTAAGGCATGACTGTTCTGATAGGTGACTGAAATCTATAGGGTATCACCCTATACTGTTTTAGAGTACAACTAGTATCAAGTAACATTTCAACAGCGAAACCTCATCAGAGACGAAATCTGATAGCACATTATCCAGGCACTCGTAACTACGGTTGTACTGAAAATTAGGTTGACCATGTAAAGCAGTGTCGTGGTGGCTTTAGTATTTAACATCATAAATTCCACACAAAAAGTGAGGATATTTATACTTTTACTCAATGTAGACTACAATACTTGGTTAAAAAATGCAAGTCTATAATGAGTAATAGCATGAATACTTACACTTTTTGTGTGGAACTTTAGATGTTAACTACTAAAGTCATCACCACACTGCTTTACATGATCAACCTAATATCCAGTACAACTGAAGTGGCAAGTGTCTGGATAACGCGATATCAGAACAACAAAGTTCAAGGATCAACACAACTTTAGATGGGTCTTGCTTCTCAACAAGGAAGAAATTATAACCAAATATATAACTTTAACTAAAAGCATTTTTTCCAATGGATATTTTATCGGCTATAATATCACAGAACACCGTGTTTTTTTTTGTCCCGACGAACTCTAATAATTTTGAATCTTCTAAAACTTCCCTTCAACAAAGAGATTATATATTTCCAATAAAAAGAATAATTAAATATGTGTTTTTAAATTATTTATCGATTTCGAGAAAAAACTTAAAATAACCTCTAATACATTTGCGTTAATATGCAAATATTAATTGCAGATCAATAGTTGATCAAATATTTCACCACCACCACAGCCTGGAGATATTTTCACCACGATCGCCGCTAAGGCAAGTAGGCAATTGGTGTGTGTCTTTGATAAATTAAAAAAAATTTGTGCTTATATTTTAGCGAGATTTATTGTAGTCATAAATTATATAAATTAAATTATATATAAATATTAATTAATTATAAATTTTGTTTTGTGTATTGTGATAGCAGAAACGATCAGTCCAAACTCTTTTGACACTATTAGTCAATTCTGAATAAAGGGTATACTTGGTTCATAAAAATGTTTATAACAGAACTGGCAAGACAAATAAGATTAATAATGTCTGTCTATGTTTGTACTACGAGTATATAGTATATATAAAGAATGAAAAATTTAGAGAAATATTGTCTTAGGAGTATGTCAGCCTAATTGTCTGTAAAGACAAAAGGTTTCTTGAACTACATTAATTCAAAATAATGGTTTCAATTAATCTATATCGTTTTCTGTCAGCAACAAATAATGATTAATTTTTGGAAGCAAAAGGGTAAAGCTAATTATTCACTAAAACTAAACAACCAATCTCTGAGTTTTTGGGATGGCTCCATTAGTTAGAAACTTAATATAGACAGACTTATTGTGAAACCAGGCAAATTTGTTTGTTATTATCCATAGAACCCATATGAAATTGCCATGTAAATGAGTTTGAGTTAAAAGTTATTTATATATATGCATCAAATTCTGTGTTCCAAAGAAATTTTTTTCTGCAACTATGAATATATAGCTGAAATATAATTCTGCAAATGTAAAGAAAACAAAATTAATTTTGTTCACTGAGATACAAAACCACAGTCTTAACTATTTTTTTATTCTTAAAGTAGATTTTAATAAATTATATTTATGATTAAGGTTAAATACCACATCATGCGATGTCTTTCTGTAAAAATAATAGTTTTCTAACAGTTATTTTTGGATTTCTACTACTTTTTACAATTGTGGAACGTTCAACGGTTGCTAGACGATCAACATTAACAATCGATAAACCATAAATTAATCATGTAATGCCTTGAATGATACTTCTGTTTGACACAAGACACTGAAACGGTGCAATCAAATTAAGACTATGAAATAGATAGTGATAGTGAGTTTGGGTAAGTGCAATATCAGTAGGTTAGGTTAGGTAAATTTAATTGTGTTTGAGCCATGCACAAACCTTCTGGTTCCAAGCGATATCAGATGGAGTTGTCTTGTACAAGACATTTTTGCATGTCTAAAGAATGCATATACCTTTATTTATGGAACAGAACCGCCAAGCATATTTTTAAGATTATTTAAAATTTTAAACCAGATTTGATTAAAATTAAACAACGACACTGTGCGTAGTATTTAGTACATATGCATCTTGCCACCTTATCGGTCTATAAACCCAATAAGTCGTCGAATAATTTAAAATATCCTAAATTGCAGGAGCGTACTTATAACTAAAATAACTCAAAAGTGAGATAAGTTTTGCTATGATATGCTATTATCACAAATATGGTTCCTCTTTTATTTAACTACGGTCACATATATAATTATATTAATAATTAATTAATGGAAAGCATTTGAATAAATTGAATTTGTTTTAAAGTATAATAATAAAGTTTATAACATATTAATATATTAGTATATAATATATTCTTTTATATATAAGAAATAATTTAAAATAACCACTAATGGCGAGTATTTGGCAATACTCAAAAGAGCGGTATGGTCAGCAAAAAATTTAATTAATCAGAAAAATAAAAGTTTTGTTGCTGTAATTCACTATTGTACGAAACCTCTCTACTACAAATAGTAGTATATATTAAGTCAATAGTTTCTTCATAGCTAGACTTAATTATAAAAAATTCAATATTTAATATATTAAACTAATAATAAGAAAAATTTGATTGTTTTTATTTTAACACTAGTGGTCCCGACAGACTTCGTTCTGTCAAAAAGATTTGGAATGTGGCAGTTTATTGCTCCTACCTATTTTATAGTCGGTGCAAAAAAATTTCGTCAACAGAAAAGTCACTCCGGTGTGTGGGCTTCAGCTCGTTTGACCAAAGTATCTTCTCTTCCAAGAACTTTAACCACCCTTCTGGGATCTACTAAAAAACCCCGACTGGGATGTCTGCCAGAGGGTTTCAAACTAAGAGGCGAACATAGGGACAGTGGAAACCTAAAAGTGACAAATATATAAAACGTGGGTGGCTCGCTTGGATAGTGGAGATTATGATCTGGAAAGGAAGTCATGGGGAATTAATAAACATACTTACAATAATCAACAACTTATTACAACACACAAACTCATTTATTGTCGTTATGTTCTTGTCTTCTTACATTAAGACCGAAAAGTTTTCGGAAATTCTCATTTAAAATTCGCGCGCTGTATATTTTCCGATATTTTAAGTTTATGTAGTTTGGCAGCACTGTCCTTAATTACTATGCCAAAAATGAGCGCGATCTGTCAGACAGTTCGTTTACGGCAGCTGTTGAAACCAGTTCACCTCAGTAGGGCGTTGCGAAAAAAACAATGGAAAAAAATATTGAACAAAGAGTTTGCATCAAATTTTGTGTTTCGAACGAAATTTCGTGTGCAGAATCGTTGCGAATGCTACAAAAGGCTTATGGGGAATCAGTTTTATCGAAAACTCAAGTTTATGAGTGGTACAAAGCCTTCCAGGACGGTCGTACGACCGTCGAAGACATTTCGCAACGCACTACTGAGGTGAACTGGTTTCAACAGCTGCCGTAAACGAACTGTCTGACAGATCGAGCTCATTTTTGGCATAGTAATTAAGGACAGTGCTGCCAAACTACATAAACTTAAAATATCGAAAAATATACAGCGCGCGAATTTTAAATGAGAATTTCCGAAAACTTTTCAGTCTTAATGTATATGTAAAAATGAATCGAAAAGCGCATAACTCAACAACGCCTGGACCAATTTGTAATTAGCAATAATTCAATTTTTTTTTCGCCCTAAAAACCATCCTTGGACTTCAACGAACATATAAAAAAAAGAATTGACCAAATTGGTCCAGGCGTTGTTGAGTTATGTGCTTTCCAACTTATTTTGGGATTCATTTTTATATGTAAGATGAAACTGCTTTGACTTTTATTGCATCGTCATTCCATAGATAATATCGCTAGGGACTTATAAGAGATTGCAAAACGTTAGGAAACGCATTTAATAGTAGTTTTCTTTTAATTATAGAGATTTTTTCTCTCAGAAATCAAAGTAACGGTTTGAGATATGAGTAGTTCTTTTTGAGAAAAATGGTTAAAATTTACAATCCTACCTCTTATTATTTATTATGAACATGATTATGCGATCAATTATCTGTCAAATTGAAAATTATATGTATAATGGCATTTTCCGTTATCATAGTTTACTCAGCAGACAATGACCCAAACGGCTTGTCTATTTAATGATGAGGATGATTTTATTGTATACGTCACCAAAGCAATTAACGAATTTCAATTTTTGAAATTCAACTTGGAAACTCCGTTTAATTTTCAACACAAAACTGAAACTAAATTTAAGTAGAAGAAGTGATAAAATCCACTGCAATATTCACTGCAATTGTGCTGAAGTCATCACTGCATTCAGCTAACAAATTTCAATTTTCAATGGCGCGCAGAAGTGCACATGAGGAAATAAACTCCAGGACTGTGCAACTCCAAGAAGCAACTACCTTAGAGGGCTTCCCATACCAATACCGATGGCCTGAGCTGCAAATACAACAACAAAAATATAAAGTGAAAAAAAAATCGCAAAAAACTGTAATAAAAAGTGACGATAGCTACTCGTAAAGAGTAGCGGTAACGGCGGGCGGTATAACTGAAATCTGAGACATGCTGCGCTCTTTGTAGCGGCTTTTGGTTGCTAACGTTTTCATATCGAATACTGTGGAGCCTCCAAGAATGTTTTATGAGAACGGCGCGGTGTTGGTATTTTTCTATTGAATGAATGAAAATCCAGACCAGGTAAAACACAAAACTGCCGGTACATGCAACTCAGTTGGTTGCCAGTGCAGTTGGGGTGTTGGTGGAAAAACATTTCAGACTGAATGCAGCCGCAAGCAGAGCAATGCGTTGCATGTGTTGTGGTTGCAAGCGTCTGATGACATTCCGAGTTGCTGTTGCAGTTCATTTTGTAGTTTTTGTGTTGGTTTTTCAACAGATTTGCAATATTTCACGCTGAGCTCCGCAAATGGAGAGTCCAATAAAGATAGCATATCTCTTGTTAGTTGCAACAATGGAGTGCCTAAGGTTACCTGCATAATTAAATTGATGATAGATGATGATAGAGCTTACATGTGCAAGTTTCACTTGGATATAACCAACAAATGCCAAAGAAATATATTCAATCTATGTTAAAGTGAATTATCCTTGAAACACATTAAAATTAAATTAAAAATCGTTAGCTTAAAGACGAAATAATTTTTAGTTTGTTAACAAGTTGGGTTGCAATCTCTTTCAAATGGATTGGATGATATTGACAACAACTTAGCACTTTCTTTACAACGACAAATTGGAGACTTTAACCAACAATGTGAGACTTGAATTTACTTTAATTACCTCTTAGGATGGAGAAGATTTCTAAAACAATGTGATAACAGTAACAGAGTAATCGAGGGAGAGAGATGTGAGCTGGAGCCTTAGTACCTCAGAGGCAAGGTTTATTTAAACCAGAAAGTACAGGCATGACGTAATTGGCTACGAATTGGTTTAATGACAGTTAAAACAATAGAATCAAAATATGTTAGTTTTGTTGGCATTCAATGCTGTTATTTAGCCTTAATGCTGCAAGCATACTAAATTACGAGTAGAAGTAAAAATATTACAGAAGTCACTGTCTACTGCTTCAGCTGTTCTGGCCAATAGATGTTGGCCACTTAATGGGAATGTCGTAATGGCTGCTGTTAAAATCGAAATATGTGCGAGTAGAATAACTGTATTCATTTACTTTCATTCAAGCAGTGGTGTGGACCACAGAACAGCAGAAAGATTAGACAGCTCTCTCTCTCTCTCTAGCTCTTTATATCCAAATATATATTGTTACTGGCTGAGTTCCTTAAAATATATTATTAGAAGTTCACGGCATGTAACATAATCACGCTTATAATTTTGTGGTCTGTACCCCATTCCTAAAAAGCAATTTTAGTATCTAAAATATAGCAGATTACTATATTTCGTTAATTAATCTGACAAGACTAGGTAAATAGAGAGCGTGAGCATCATTCATGCTCAAAACTTCAAAACCTAACAGTCGTAATGCCATTCTTGTAAACACTGAACAATAACAGAAGAAGTGATATCTATTTTTTATAACTTCGAGACATAATTGATATGGACGTCGATGTGTGATGATTGTCATAGCGGCCATATGTTGCGCTGATTTAACTGAGATCAGTACTCTGGGGTCTCTTCTCTTTAATTGTATTAGAAATTTTACGAGGCCCCTGTCAAGTTACTTCGCAAAGTGTTTCGTTACTCATTTGAGCAGATGTAGAAGCCTGTTTGTTTATAGTGTGCAGAAAGTCATTGAGTCAATAAGAGAATTCTGTGAACCTGAAGTTGAAAATTGGTCCTGATCTCATAGGTTACTTAGCGCAGCCGTTGTTGGCTAAGTTATCAACTAACTCATTACCTACGACTCATTAATATATTTCACTCACAAAATGTAATTTGATCTAAATATTAAACTCCATAATTTTTTTTGAATCTGGTCACCTTAACGTTTTCTAAACACGTCATAAGTAAACTAATTATCGTTGATAAGGTGCAAAAACCGTTGTCGTTTTACCCTAAAGAGTATGTGAACCTATCTTTCTACTCGTAACTGTGCATTCAGAGGCTTTCACCTATTTGTGGTTTAGACGTTTGGTTCGTTGGTTTACTCATTTTTCTCTATGCATGTTTTCCCGCTGGTGTTAGGTACGAACTAGCAATGAGCAGTAGGTAAGCACTTCTAAGATAGTAACATCAACATGAACATCAACAGCGATAGCCGCAAATAGAGCTAAAGCTAATGCTAGAGTAGTTACCGCTCCGTCAGTTGCTTTTCAAACGTGGTACTAACAGCATTGCAATAACTTCAACGGTGTCTACACAAAACAAACGTACCCGAGTACGCACTTTTATTGCTTCCTAACATAGTAAATAACAGCAACAACACATAACAGTGAAAAGATAAAAAAAATTTAGATATTGAAGCAAAAATTTGTATAAAAGTTTCAAAAATGTCAAGTGATAATCTCATCTCAATGGAAGATCCACTTACGCCTGATGGGGGCGAAGGTGATCAATTCGAATTACGCGCGGTTGTGCATAACAGCGCCGATACTTCAATTAGTTCTGAAAATTTGGTAACCACAGCGCCATCAACGCGTAACAGCTCGGAACGCAGCTTACCGTTGCGTAGTTACAGCAAATGGTCACCACTGGAACAAGGCGCTACGCTGGTATGGCGTGACTTGTGTGTATACACCGCGGGACAGAATGGCTCCAGCCTGCATAACATGAAGCGACTTATTAATAATTCAACGGGTGCAGTGCAACCGGGAAACTTAATGGCTTTGATGGGTTCGAGGTAAGTGAGTGTAGGGAGTTGGGTATGGCGTGTGGGGTGCTTCCTAATGGACGTTTTGCTTTTTGCGGTATTTGCGGATACAATTTCCAATCCTTCGCTTTTATTGAACTGCAATAGTTTCTCTTTCAAGAGAGTTGTCTGATAGTATGTCATTTACTGATTTGCATAATTCCGCTTTGGTTGAGTGGAGAATATTTTTGCTTTGTTGTTTTTTTGTTGGAAAAAATGGTAGCAATTGTTGGTGTACGTTGTATGTTGCTGCTTCACTATGTTGTTGAGAAAAAATGTTGATAATAAAAAATTCAAAGCAGCTTAAAGTGTTAAGACAACGGTTTCATAAACTAGTTGCAAACCTTTTGTAATTGATACTTTTGGTGGATTTCCATGAAATTTGAGTTTGTTTTGAGTTTGAGTCAAAGATATCTTGAAGTCAAAATGAAATCAAGTAGAAAATTATATGTAAACAAAGTCATTTGCAAAAATATTGATGATTGAATGAATAAATGATGAATGATTGAAAATTCGTTCAATTGAAATAATAAAATTATTTTCTGTGTAAGTACAACATCTGAGAAGTGTTACTGATACCATATTCTGCACTAAAATGTTTGCGGTTTCCGTTTCTTTTTTTTGTTTTTATTTTGCTTCAACTCAATTAATTAAAGTGAAACTGCAGATTATTCATATACCTGTATCTGTACTATTACTATCATTCAAAACTCTTTATTCAGAAATGCTTTTTGAACGTCAACATTTTCTGTCAGATTCATAATTCAAGGACTGTTAGAATTCACGAAGTATATTAAAGTATATTCACAACGAAAGGCGGACAATCGTCATAATTCTATCGTTTCACATACTAAATATTTAATCTTAATACTTAAATCAAAGTTCATATTTATGGTAGCAGATGATTGCTATACATAGCAACTACAACAGTTTTCACATTATAAAACTGCGAAGCCAAACAGCTAATTTGATGATCCTTTCCCCATTAAGATCTCTATAAACTGTGGAGTTTGTCTGAAGTAATTGATTGATAAAGTGAGTGTGAGACTTTAATCCATTAATGTCTGACGGTTTGCTCTCTTGGGATCACCGATTTAACATTTCGTCAAGAGGATGTCCAGAGCACGAAGTTTAAACGTGAGGTTTTTGTCGTCATATCGTTTATTGACTATATTTTTCAGACTGTGAATTATCATTTGTCATCACTGCAATTATGTTACTGTAGTTGTGATTATTTGCACCTCTCTTCACAAAAACTCAGTCATATTACTAAGGATCTGTAGAACATTCAGATTTAGATTTAGAACTATTCAGAGTTTCAGAGACCAAATTAGTATCAAAACAGTGGATGAAAAAAAGGGAAAGTCTGGAAGAAGTGAATGGAAAAAGTCTCGAAGAAGGTGAAGATTATTCCATCAACCAAACAATAATACTCAAGACCTAATGAGTAGTTTTCTTTTTCTTGGAATAGCAAAAGAGTTTTGCAGACTGATAAGCTTGAAAACAGTTGAGATTACTTTTAATATACTTGTAGTTATATAAAGTTGAATTATTATAATGTATTAAATAATATTATACTAGTTAAATTAAACGATACAACCACAAAAAACATTCCCATTGATCAAGGAAATTAGGTTTATTTTACAAAGACAAGGCATTGACTTACATAGGTAAGTCGTTGTAAGCAAATTTCCAAACTGCATTTCAATACATCCTAACTTGAAGAGCATCTAGTGATTATTATTTGTTTTCAAAATTGAAAGTATGGTTTTAGGTAAATATTCCCTTAAAATGCAATATTTGTCGTAAATCAATGTATTCATTTATTTTTAAAACATTCGTATCTTTAAGATACACCTGAAGTCTTTGATGTTGGATCGACACTTTTCCAACTAGATCTTTTAGTTGCTTTCAAAAGGATTAACCTCTTCAATCCTAACAATGACTGATTTGACTGAATGACTGAGAAAATGTTACAAAAAATAATTTAAGTTAGGAAAATTAATCTTATAACCATAATCACAATTTAATTTGTTGCAACCACAAATGTAGACAACCTCTTGTGTTGAAAGTTTATTTAGTAAATTTCGCGGTTGAATATTATAACTGCAACCCATTTGTTGCGGTTGATATGAATATCATATTTAAATTTACTATCCATACATTTCTATATTTACAATAATATCACTAATTACTACAAACACAATTTTATTCGTAAAATTTTATAAGATTAACAGATTCAATGTGTATCGTTACTTATTCTCAAGAGTTCAGTACCAGCAAATTTCAATTTTCTAAGTTAATTAAAATTCATGAATCCGTAAATTATTTTAACACTTGTTTCAAAAATCAAAGTATCTTTATTTCTATTATATGTTAATGTACTATAATGTACTATATAAATATAATAAATGAAGTTCATAGCAAACGTATCAGAACAAAATCATTGCCAATGTTAACTGTAAGTTCCTCGTAGAATATGTTAGTAACATTAGGCCTTAATGTTATTAACATTTTTACTCTAATAACCAACAAAATAAAAATCATTTTGTGGTTCTTTTGTATATTAGTAATATTTACACTGTTATTTTATCTAAGAATTTTATAATGATCTTATTTACTTTCGTGTTAATTCACCTTCTAGAAAATTGAAGATTTTCCGGCTTTTTTTACTACTGTTACTACAGATAACTGCTTACATTTATATCAGATAAAGAGTAAGCTTAAAAGATGGTTATCTTCTTATCGCGTTTTGGGTACAAATGCAATTTATTAAATAAATAATATTTCTCATGTTTTACATTTGTCTTGACATTCATAGCAATTTCATTGCAATAAAATGAGATACATTCAAAAGATTTATGAATAATTTTGATATTTGAATTCCATGATATGACAATAACATAGATACTACGACTATTAGTATTTTGTATTCAAAATATTGGTGTTTGTGATTTATTTGATATCAGATCATTATTTAATTGTGGTATATATATATTGGATTTAATTTTAATGACTTGATAAAGGACTAATGATGCCTATCAGTCGTCTATCTGTAGTCTATAAGTAGTTTGTCAGTTGTCTATAAGTAGTCTACAAGTTTAGATCAGTAGTCTATCAGCTGTCTATCGTTAGACTTTAAGCAGTTAATCAGTAGCCCATTAGAAATCTATCAGTAGTCTATCAGTAGTTAATAAATAGTAGATCAATAATGGATCAGTAGTTTGTTAGTAGTCTATAAGTAGTAGATAAGTATTCCATCAGCTGAATATCATTAGTCTTTACGTAGTAGATAAGTAGTCTATCAGTAATCTATCAGTAGACTAATGATAAGTTATAAGTAGTAGAATAGTAGTTTATCAGTAGTGTATCAGTGATCACAAACAGAGACGGAATGTTTTCGAGATTTTTAGTCTAAAGAAGGCGGAATGTTAGTTAGTGCTTTTCTTTATATTTTTCTCTTTAACGCGCGATTAGAGAGCACTTTTAATAGGGTTCATCCATTTCACATTCTTTTAATTGACACTTCAGAATAACAAACACTTTTATGCTTGAACGAGTTGATATCTCTGCTTAAGAATTTTCTTTCTAGTTTGTTAAGACTATCGCAATATATTGGGTCTTGCACAAACATGTTATCTTCGTTACATTTTTCAGAGAAGAAAATTTTAGTGAACATACTATCACAGCATTTCAGTACTGTTTAGTGTTGGTAGAAAGATGATCTAAGTCGCACCTTGCAGGCGATTCGGTAGGAGAGTCTTGGTTTCTTCAGATAAAAAACCAGATCGACTATACTTCTGAGTATCATTCATTAAATGTGTGTCATGATGGATTAAAGAAATATATATATATGTATATGTATATAATCAAACGATTTATTACGAAGATTAGTTGCATGGCTGTATCCAGGAGGCAGGTGTAATAGTTAGGGTGCAGATCCTTCTACTGTTAAAACTGTGACCTACAAATAATACACTGTAAAAACAGTGCTATAAAATATTTTTAATATATGCTCCGTTGGCACAATCCTAACTACATCACTGATTAATTCTTTATCGATATTGGAAATAAACAACTGGGAGATATACTCTTATCGTATTTAGCCGGAACTTTTGGCTTATTAAAAACGGTGTATACGGTTTGTTACGTAAATTAACTGTAGACCAAAAACTATTTTGAGGAGTGATTAAGTTTTCGAATAAAAATCGCATTTAAACTGTGAAGCACTCTTGATATTGTCTTGATTTGGTAATGGTAATGGTATGTTACTGGTTTATGGGTTAGGCTAAAGTCTTTATGCACTGCGACTAGCTTTATCAATTGTGCATCCCTTTGCATTTAGAGCTTTAGCATCGAAACTAACTAACCAGCTCCTTAAGAGAGAGATCTTAAATGTCTTCATCCTCTAATTGGTAAACTCCTGAAATATTGTTTGTGTCTTTTGTGACCTAGAGTTGGCGTTCAGATGTTCCATCACAGCAGAATCTGCAAATATTTGTGTCGGATGTACCTATTTTGTGTAGGTGTTTATTGCAGGCGGCGTGGCCTGTTAGTGTACCGGAGAGTGACTTTGGACTATTTAAGTTTAGATTGAGAACGATATTTGCTCTTTTAGCACTAAAATTCAAGAATTTTTTGGAGTGATTTAGATCGTCTGTGCCATTCCAATAATGTTTCGTTGACTTGACTGTTTGTGTTCCTTTGTTTTCAATGATGAAATAATAATTCCAATGTATTGTTGAAAAGTTTAGTATATTTAAATAAATGATGAATATTCAAACACATGAATTTAATATAATTTTAAATTAAATGCGATGTTAATATTTCACTACGCATATTACTAAACATTTCACAGCATCCGTATTATTATTATTATTTTAATCTCTTTAAATTCGTTTTAAAACACGCGTGGTAGGAAAAAATAAAAAACATTTCAAAGATTTTTTAGTATTTATTATATACACATAAATTTTTTATATATGCAATCTTATTTCCAGTGGTTCTGGTAAGACAACCTTGATGTCAACACTTGCGTTTCGTCAACCGGGTACGTGTGAATTGCATTAAGTTTCGTAGATAAGATAACAATAGTTATAATCATTATTTTCCTTTTGATCTCGAACTTTATCTCAGTCATAAAAATTTTTTAAATTTTATGTATTTATGCTTTTAATATTCACTTTTAGCTGGCACTGTCGTGCAAGGCGATATTCTGATAAATGGTAGACGCATTGGTCCATTTATGCATCGCATCAGTGGTTATGTGTATCAAGACGATTTATTCATTGGGGCGTTAACTGTTTTGGAGCATTTAAATTTTATGGTGAGTAAAAGTTCGAATTTATCGTAAATAACAACCAATATATTAAAAATACGTAATAAAAAATTAAATAGTAAATAGTATATGAGTTACATATATTAGCATTTTTACTTTATGTGATTTATTCACATAATATTCGGAAAATATATATATTACTAAATAAAAAGGTCAGGTAATTTACATAAAAAAATTAGTAAAGAAGAATTTATATAATAAATCAATGAGTTATTTAAACTTATTTGAATTTTTTTTTATTTTTCCCGAATATTTTGACTAACCCTGAGAGTAGTTAGTTTACGATGAATTTATATAACTAAGGGTTTTTATTAATTAATATAAATTAACTTACTTGGGGCCATGGTTCCACCTACTGTCAAATAAATGCTAAATAATGTAATATTAAATAAATGTCAACAATTATTAATTGTGAAACATTTTTATTTTATTTTTAATTTTAGTTTATAGAGTACGGAAACATCTCTTTGAATATGTTAATTAATAATGAGGTTTCTAACAGTATTAAACTGCAACAACAAAAATTTTTATTTAGTTTTAATTCATTTAGAATTTTTCAAATGTCAAATTTAGGTATACAAGTCAAGCACGATTTTGGGTCAGTTAGGTAATGAATACTGACTCTGAGCTTCGAGTTTGGCAGGGTACGAGTTCAACGTTATACTTGTAGTCTCAAAGAATTATTTAGGAATAATTAAACATAAGAAAAAACTCAGTGAAAAATAGTGATGATGAGTATTAAACAATACTTGAAATAGCTGTATAGTTAGCACAAAAATACAATCAATTAAAAACAAAATTATTTGTTGTTGCAATTAAGTACTGTTTGAAACCTCTTCATACCATAGTTTCCATTAAGTAGAATAGAATTATAGAATTAATAGAATATTAAAATCAAATTTCATATGTCAATTAATTAAATATTAGTTAACTATTATTATGATTATTATTATGATTATTATATATATTATTATATATATGTCAGTTTATTTTTATTAAAAATAAATTATATTTAATAGCAGTCAAGACTACTCGTTTAAGTTCAGTTTCGTTATTTATTGAAAACAATTACTGCATATTTTTAGGAGTTCGAATTAAAAAATACAATAAAATAATTCTAACAAACGTTTTTGTTTTACCTTTAACAGGCACACCTTCGTCTGGATCGCCGTGTTAGTCGACGTGAACGACAAATGATTATAAGTGATCTGCTCGAAAGAACTGGTCTACTCTCAGTTGCACACACACGTATTGGTTCTGGTGATGATAAGAAGGTTCTCTCCGGTGGTGAACGCAAGCGACTTGCATTCGCTGTGGAACTGCTCAACAATCCAGTTATATTGTTTTGCGATGAACCAACCACCGGTTTGGATTCTTTCAGCGCGCAACAATTAGTCCAAACTCTATATGATTTAGCCAAAAAGGGTACAACTATACTCTGCACTATTCATCAACCGTCGAGTCAGCTGTTTGATATGTTTAACAATGTTCTACTACTGGCAGATGGACGTGTGGCCTTCACTGGCTCACCACAAAATGCACTCAATTTCTTTGCAGAGAATGGTTATCGCTGCCCAGAAGCTTACAATCCAGCTGATTTTCTTATTGGCGTGTTGGCAACAGATCCCGGCTATGAACAAGCATCACAGCGTTCGGCGCAATATCTTTGTGATCTTTTTGCTGTTAGCTCTGCTGCCAAGCAACGTGATATGCTAGTTAACTTGGAAATTCACATGGCACAAACTGGTGATTTTCCATACGACACAGAAATAGACACCTTCAAACCTGCTTATTGGTATAAGAAGTTTCACGTCATATGGTATAGAGCAACATTGACGGTTATGAGAGATCCCACTGTGCAATGGCTGCGTTTCCTACAGAAAATGGCTATGGCTATAATTATAGGTGCTTGTTTTGCGGGAACCACCGAATTGACACAGTTGGGTGTGCAAGCTGTGCAGGGTGCACTATTCGTCATGATATCCGAAAATACTTATCATCCCATGTACTCTGTGCTAAACGTTTTCCCGCAAAGTTTTCCACTGTTTATGCGTGAAACAAGAGCGGGCATGTACACGACGGCTCAGTATTATATCGCTTATGTGCTTTCCATGGTAAATTTCCATTTATAGTTTGCAGTAACTTTGTTTGTAAGCATATGATTTTTAATATCTTCCCAGCTGCCGGGTATGATAATCGAACCTCTGCTATTTGTGGTTATTTGCTACTGGATTACGGGCCTGCGTGCTACTTTTTTCGCCTTCGGTATAACCGCTGTGGCAGTCATATTGGTGATGAATGTTGCCACTGCGTGTGGGTGCTTCTTTTCCACTGCATTCAATTCAGTGCCGCTGGCTATGGCTTATTTGGTGCCAGTCGACTACATTTTCATGATAACTTCTGGTATCTTCATCAAAATCAGGTAGGTTGTTGGATGCGTTGGTGTTGTTGAATTTAAATGAATAATGCCCTTAAATATGGTGCAGCACATTGCCATTGGCATTCTACTGGACGCAATTTCTTTCGTGGATGCTGTATGCTAATGAAGCCATGACTATTGCGCAATGGTCCGGCGTGCAGAATATAAGTAAGTGAGCATATAATATCTTTTTACGCTTTGCTTAGTCAGGCGCTAAATTTCTCAAGAGATTTTCTTCTTCGGACGACCTTGATACTTCATTTGCTTTAGTTTTTTACACGTATTTTTGAGTTTTTTTTATTTAATTTTAAAATTTTATTTTTGGCTTCTTACTTATTCATTTTTATTTATGCATATTATTTTTAAAGTTTGTTTCCGTTTGCTATGTACTTTCAACTTTTTTCGCAATGGTTTCTTCTTATTTAATTTTTCCACTTTTCTTCGTTTCAGCTTGCTTTGAGGAGAGTGAGGACTTACCATGCTTTCACACAGGACAGGATGTGCTGGACAAATACAGTTTTAATGAGACAAATCTCTATAAAAATCTGTTCGCCATACTTGGAATCTATTTGGGATTTCACGTTTTGGGGTATTACTGTCTATGGCGTAGAGCAAGGAAAATTTAAAATTTCCCAAAGTGAAAAGTTGAACTTTTTTCTTTTTGTTGCTTGTGTACATAAGAAAACTGCCATTATTTTTAATGAAATTTATTGTACAACGTAATTTTAAATTATTTTTTATACTCTATGCTACTTTATTTTAATTTAGAGTAAAATTAAATAGCTTTCCTATGAGCTTAAGTAAAGCCACAAAAAAGAAAAAAAAATAAAAAAATAGAGTTATTATTTTTAACGAATATTCAGGATATGCAACCTTATAAAAATATTATTAAATAATTTTTAAAATATTATTTATTTCTACTGAATTTAATATTATTTAATATAAAATAATGTGTGTTGTTTAAATTTTTCTAAATGGTATTCCTATATTTATATACTTCATATATACATTTATAATAATTTGTGGATCTTTTTTTTTTCAGTGCAGCACAGATGCAAAGAACATTTCCTGTAAGAGTTATAGGAAATTTACATTTAGAACTTTTCTTCCTCAGTTTATCTTCCACAAATTGAAAAAACTTTATGGTGTTTCAACTCAAGACTTTATCTGCTAATTGGAGTGTTTTTGCAATTATACTTTTGAGTGTTCTGCAATGTTCAATTTGAAACGGTTTTTCAGGTCAAGTCTTATATTGTTATTTTAAAGATTGGTGAATCTTTTGCATGTCGCAATTAATAATCCTTGTCTCATGGCTAATTATGGTGAATAAATAAAGGTGAAGGTTCACGGAGTTTTATAAACAGTATTTTTATTACCTGAAAGACTTCCAGGCACATTCTTTATGGCTGCCCAGCCTTGATCTGGGCCAGAAGGAGGTCACTGGGAGAAGAGTTGCTCTCCCCTTCTACCCTTCTCCCTTTCAGTAGGAGGTCCTCAACGGACGACATTCAGGAAGGTGGAATATCTTCTGAGCTAGAACCCCGTTCATTCCTATTCCCTATGCCTGACAGAAATGGTAAAAAAAAGAATGACGCTTCAAAACAAAACTGGTATATATATACGAAAGAAATACCTAGGTGGCCATATCATCTTCTTCTTTTTTTTTACCTGTTGAAACACGCGTTATTATATAAAACACTTTTACTTAGTAAAAGTAGTGACCATTTGGATGATCCACAGTAATAAGAGCTCCGTTGAATTATGATAATAAGTTATTCAGTTGAATCTAGAAAAGTATAGTTTGAAGCATAGCATATCTTCTTGACAGAATTTATATTACATTACATTAATTTCAGACAGTGCAATGCTGAATTAGTGGGAGCAGCATCTCATTGGATAAAAAATTTATACTCACTTAAGTCAATACTACAATTAATCCACGAAGTCAGATTTAAAACAATACTCGGAATTCACGATGGGTGCATAATAGGTCTCTAGACTGTACGAATTTTCAACTCAAAAATTGAAAAATTTTACTCGCATTTTTTTTAATTTAGTATACTAAATGTATACTAAAGTGAAGCTGGTGCAATAGATGTAGGTGATAGCTTGCTTTTTGAATGACAAAAAACTCATATAGTACTTAGTAGCAGTCCCACTAAAATAGCTAATAAACGTTATAGCACGCTATCTGATTGGCATACACACCCATGTATTAGAAAAATTTGCATTTGTACTATTAAATGCTTTCAAAGTAAAATCTGCCGAAATGTAATAAATGATCCTCTTTTAAAATTACAAATATTCAGATAGTTTAAATCATTCACATATAGTCAATATTCAAACTATTTCATTTTATACTATGTTTAAAGTTTGAACCGCTTACTAGTCCAAGAACCTAACGAAATGCTTTAGTATTTAGTATATGTTTAGTATACATAAATATATAAATATATATTTACATAGATTTTGTTTTAAAAATGGCACATACTTCTGTATATTTGTCGATTCAATTTCAATCGTCTAAATATAGCAGAAAATGGATATTTTAAACTTATGGCTTTTATTTTAATATTCTGACTGAAAAGTCCCGTCTATAAACTACTATTATCTAGCACCATTTTTTTTTATATTATTTTTCTAGTTTTTATTTCTCATACTTACTGCATATATTGTATCACATTTAAATAATAGCTTTTTTTTGAAATTTATTTATTAAAACACATATATTAATTATACAATTATTTTACAATATTACTTAACGTTAATTATTAATTATTTTAATAGCTCTTAGAATCCATATTCCTTGTTTTAACATTGTTTTCATATTAAATACATTTAATTTATAACTACAATTTCTACTTAGATTTATTTATAATATATATATACTTAAATTTTTTTATAGTTATTATTATTTTTATTTTTCATTTTTAAAATTTTTAATTCAATTTTTACAAAAGCAGCGGATATTATTATTATATTTTCGAAATTAATTTTTTTGTTCAGTTGAAATTTAAATTAATAGAATATATTAAAAAACAGATGTTTAAATATCTCTCTTGAATTAACATATAAATAAATATTCTGTGTTAAAATTGTGTTTAAGTTTGTACAATCTTTTTTCAAGGTACTTAATTTCAATTAAAAAATATTAAAATAAAAAATAAAGAGATTTTTAATTGCTAATAGCACAAATATTTAGACAAAAAATAAATTGTTTAAAAAAATAAATTGTATAAAAAAATAATTATTTTTTCAAGAAATTTAAATTTTTTATATATATTTTTAACTGCATTTAACATTGACATCTGGTGTAGAGATTAATATATTCGGTTTAACCGAGAATACTTATTTTATTATTTTTAGTCGTATTAAATCTATTTAATGCATATTTGCTCTAAAGCCTTTGTTTAATTAAGTATGAAATATTAAAATTTATTTAATTAAATGTTATATTTAGTTAATAACATAATTTTACAAGAATCACAGCGTGAAGTTTGTTGTTGTTTCAAAGCAACATAGAAACATATTATATTCATTTTATTTATTTAATTTATTCAAATCTGTTTTTATTTCTACATCAACTGCATTAAAATTTAAATTTTTAATCATAAAATTTTTGTTTTATTTTTTTTTTAATATATTTATTTTTTTATTTTTGCATATTTAAACATTTAAAATATTTTTAGTAAAATTACTTATATACATTTATAATTACTTATATGCAAATGTGCTTGTATGTATATGTGTGTGTACGTGTTACTCAAAACAGCCTTGAATTGACAAAGTTGCACAAAATTAAATATTTTATACATAAATTAAATAAAGTTTTATTTTATTCAAAATATTTAAAATTTATATATACTGCACTTTCCTCAAGCAGTTTTGAAAGTCCTTCGGTATAGAAAATATGCAGAAAATTTGAAATTTAATCCTTTACCTTCAAAACTAACCATATTTGCCGTAAATTTCACACAATATTTATATTATTTGGTATTTAAAATATTTGGTACAAAAGTAGTGTAAGAAATAAATCGCTTCAATTATTAGAATTTCTATAAAATTCTAGTAAATTTATTTTATTTGCCTAATTAAGTTCTCGAAGGAGTAAAAAATAAATATATTTAATTTATTATTCATAATGATCTAAAGTTAGTTTGCAGAAATGTCTTCTACAAGCAATGATATTAAAATTCAAAAAAAATATAGCTGTTGTTTATGCCATGGTTCTAATCAGGTTCCTTGGTTCCTTGACACAGTAACTCAAAGTTTGTATATAAATTAAGCGTAAATTAAGCGTATTTTGGTTTTGTGTGTAAACATGCGGGTACATGGTTCAAATTGGGCAGAGTTCTATTCCTAACATTTGTAGGAGGCATTTGTGTCAACCAAACCAATAGATGTTTGCAAAGATCATTCATTATGTTTATTTGGCGGCGTCCGAAAGTGCTATATGTTCAGAATTTTTTATATCAAAGTTTAGTTTTTGGATTTGAAAACTTCCTAGTACCCTTTTTTCTATTTGGAAAGCATTTCCTCCCATAGAACGTATAATTTTTAATTATATATTATTTATTAAATAATTCTATAAATATTATAATATATTTACTTACATATATTAAATAAAATAAAATAAAATAAAATAAAATAAATTCTATATAATAGATACCCAAGGCAAGAGTTAAACTAAAATTAATTAAGTTGATTAGATAAATAATGATTAGATAGTTGTCTCCAAACTAACTCTAAAATTAATCTCATATATTCTCCCTATTTTTATACATATATACCTATGAGTAATGTGAAAATTTCATAGAAAGCTTTGGTAGCATAATATTTAATTGGTGTAAGAAATCAAGTGAAATTCAAGTTCTCCTAATGACTAACTGCTATATAAAGTAAACCATTGAAACATATTACCCACCACTGGTAACTTTTATATTAAAATGATCTCTAATTTCAAACAAAGGGAAATATTAGAGTCTTTTTGAGAACATGTATGTTCTAGTAGTCGCATGTATATCAAGTTATTATCTTTGTCTGTCTCTGTGGGTCACTAAATGTTTATTGTTCTTCCATCTCAGTAAACACCTCAGTAAACAACTTACTAAAAATATTTGACTATGTCAAACTCTATTAACTATTAACTCTATTAAACGAATTTGAAATTAAATGAATACTGAATGGTAATAATTAGAAAATAGTCTATGTATTAATCTTAAGTACGACGATTTATTCATTTATTCTGAAACTCAATATTCAATCAGTGATACTTCGGTTGTCTAATAGTATAAGGATAATGCTATTTACTTTATCTATCTATCTGAGATAACTATCTACACTATCTAAGATAAAGTAGCTACTTAATCACAGAGCATGCGAGAGGTGTTTGGTCATTACACCACAATACACCAATAACAGGAGTTTTTGGTCTGAATCTTTTTTTAGTCCAGAGCATAGTCTACTGTCAAAAAGAATGTGACTAGTAGATGCTAGCTTATCATAGAAAAGAAAAATCAAAATCCTTTTAGCTAAAGATCTTAAACACGTTTAGCCAAAAATAAGTAACCCACAACAGTTTTAGTTACATATGGGTATAGAAAATATATTCCTGTTAGAAGAGCCGTGTCATATATTTCTTATTAAATTGTAATCTGTAAGTCAATATAGTAAAATATATATGTTTAACCCATAACAATATTAAAGATATATGTTTAACCCATAACTGTTTTAAACATATATGTTGAACCCATAACTGTATTAAATATATATGGGTATAAAAATTATACTCATGTCAGAAGGCTTAAACCATTTTATATATATTTTATTTAATTGTTTTCTTTAACTTAATATAAATATAATATATATTTTAATTAGTAAAAAAAGAATTATCTAACTTTTTATAGTAAGTTACTTTATTTTTTAACTAAATACTTTTCTCGCCCATGATCCTTGCACTGCTAATTTACCACTGTGTGATTCTATATTCCTTCCTTATTTAAATATTTAACCAATCCTAGAACATAAATATAAAAATTGGCGGCTAAAGTGAAACTCTATATCTTTGCTTATGTTAAATATCTGAACACTTTCAAAAAAAATAATTCCTGAGAAATAATTTTAACATCCGGTGTCCGGATGTTATAACACATACATATCAAACCCATAGACGTATAATTTTTAATGTATTAGTACTAACGTTTTAGTACTAACGTAATTACTAATGAACCCAAAATTGGTATAGGTACAGCGAAAATGGACAATACATCAAATTGACAATAATTTAATCCTTGATGTAGAGTATAATTATAAAATAATTTAAGTTTTAAATTAAATTAATAAAAATAAAATTAGATTAAATTAATGAAATCGAGTGGACTAGTCGTTAAGTCATTAGGAACTAAATTGGAAACTAAATATTAAAATGAGTAAAAAATAAATAAATTAAATATCAAAAATAATTTTAAGACCCCTGATGATGGGTATTTGGCAATACTGTATGTTGGCTCTATGATCTGCCAAAAATGTAATTAATTCAAATAATAAAAGTTTTGTTGTTGTGATTCATTATTGTATGAAACCTTTCTACTAATTAAAATAGTTTGTATTAAGTAAAATAAAAATTATTCTCTCTAAAGAAAATACAATTATTTAAAATAAAAAAAAAGAAATGGGTTGTTGTAATTCACTACTGCTCAAAGCCTTTCTACTAAACACAATAGTTTGTATTAAGTTAAATAAAAATTATTTTCTATAAATGAAATTTAATTAATTAAAATAATAATAAAATTGTTGTTGTAATGCATTACTGTTCGAAGGTTCTGTAATAAATACAATAGTTTCTATTAAATTAAATAAAAATTTTTTTTTATAAAGGAAATTCAATTAATTAAAATAATAATAAAATTGTTGTTGTAATTCATTACTGTTCGAAGCTTCTCTACTAAATACTCACAATAGTCGCTATCGTCATAGCTGACGTTAAACTGAAGTAAATTTAATTTAATTTTTTAGTATTAATTGTGTATAAATTCTCTGTCCTTCAAATAAGTACACATTATTATATATATATATATATATATATATATATATTCTTTTTTAGCTTTAAAATTAATATTTTATAAAATATAAAAAAATTTTTTTTTAGTTTGTTTTACAAATACAACTAATTTCTGCATAGCACGTAGAGAAGAAAGCTTTAGAAGCCATAAAATCTTAAACATTTTTTCATTATATATTAATTACTTAATTATTTATTGATTTAATAAATAATACTTTTGCTCTCACTTAACACTTAACTGTCTTATGTTATATATCATTTCATCTACAGTTTTTTTTTTTGGTACATTATTTGATATGAAACATTTTGTTACCCTGTATTATTTACACTAAAACCGTTCGATTTACTTGCTCCTTTAAAATATAAGTTTATACTCTGTTAAAATTTTATATATAAACTCGTTATTCTCTTATCATTTAATTAAAAATTTTGCATTTCTAAATTTGTTCAGTTGCAAATTTATCTACATATATTCTATTTCAAGCAAATTTCTTTTCGTATCTATAAAGTTCTTTCGAATATTAAACTTAAAATCTATTTCAATTACATGTAACAATCTTTAGAAAACAGTGCTTATATATTTATTCGCAATTTAAATAAAATAAAATTTTAAAATTGTTGAATTTCTATTACTCATAATATTTTGCTTGGACATTTCTGACCCTTTTTTGATATTCATTTAATCACAATTTTAATTTAATAAACCCCTTGAAAGTTATAATTTCCTTTACATTATGAACTGCCACGTTTTGGTTTCAAACAAAAGGAAACTGTAAAGTTTGGAAAAATTAATTAAAATGTACTAATTGCCATAAATTTTCTTGACTCCGATTTTTTGGAATGGAAAGTGAAGACATTTTCTGTTTTTTTTTTTATTCCTATTTATTTTGTTTCTAACATCCTTTAGCATATTTTTTCAATTCTAAGTTCTTTATTTTTTTTCCAATCTTTTATCAAAGAAGAATTGTTGTCAGTCTTTGTAACAATGTATCTTCTCCTTTAATTGGAATTATTTTGCTCTGATAAACTCGCGTTTATATTTGTTGACAGCAGAATTAAAAATTCAATTTTTGGGTCTTCCATGTGACACCAAACGATACAGTTTAAGTACTTAAAGCTTAGAGACCACAAAGTTTTGAAGAATAATTTAAGCGAGTGCAAATGGAATAAAAAGGAAAAGAAGTGATACATAATACAAAATAACATAAGGGAATCCAAATCCATGCTATTAAATAAGTGAGTCGACTATTTTAGAAAAACATCTGGACTAATGGACCATAGACCAATGGGAAAGCAGCAGTGGTCAGAAATTCAAAAACAAAATCCATTCGGGAATATAAATTATACAGAATAGTGTTTGGTTCGGAATAGAAGAACTAGTGGTTTAGTGAAACTATAGATCATTGATCAGTAGACACCAATGCTAGTAAATTGAGTATCCTGTTCAACCAGAAAAGTGAAGAATACAAGACAGAATAGAAAACAGAAGCAACTGAAAATATTCCTTGCAAATATTCCCAATTATTGGTTGGGTTTAACAGCTATTGGACATTTCGCATGAATGCAGAAAAATTGCGTATTTCTTTGATACATAAACGCCAAAGCGTTTATGCTAGACATCTGCATTCAGATTTTCTTGATTTCAAGACCCTGAATTTTATATACGAGTGCACAGTAACAAACGGATTTTATGTTCCACTTGGACAGCAGAAAAAAGGTTGCTATTACTAGAGCCAGTTAAAACCACTAATGCATATCATGTTTTGCACAAGAGATAGAACTACTGAGGTGTCCATCTTATATTGCAATAAGTAAGATAATTTGGTAAAGTATAACACAGATTATAACCACATGAGTTTCATATCAGTTACAATACGTGAATCACGTCTTGATGATGTATACAACACATAGCATAGTTAATACTCAACCGTTGAAGAAAAAAGATTGTGATTATTGGGTTATCACACCTTCTGTATGAACGATGTGCATGCACTCTCTTTCTCTCTCTCTTTCTACCTTATCTTCTTAGATTCATTATGGAAACTAATAAATTGGATTTAGAATAGGTTATTTTGTTCTTAGGAATTGTTGAAGTTTCTTTTAATAATGATAAACTGACTGTGTTTGGGCTTTATCAATTTTATCCTACCTTAATAAAATGCACAGACTTCATCCATAAAGCGGATGCAAAAGATCTCTTAGGTTGTACTACAAGATTTTTTCAGTACAATAATAGTGCATGTCAGCGTGACCCAGAAGTTCATACAATCTTTATATAATTTGGTATCTGGGCCACTTCAATATCATAGAAAATTATGAAACAGATGAGTCGGCTCGACAATATACCATTTTTTTTGAATAAATGTATGTATATAGTACAGGCTTCTATAATAGCTGTCATAACCACTTCTTAATCACTTTCTCACTTACTGAATAGCTTCCTGAATTATTTTTCGTATGATTAATTTAAATTGTTGCAGTAGTATCAGATTGTAACAATACTTACATTTTTAGAGTAGAAGTTTAACAGTTCTAAAAAGTTAGGATCATTAATTTGTCCATATCATCATGTTATCATTTTGAGATAGCATGGCCAATCTATAATGACTTCAATAAAAATTAAATTTGCTGATTAATAAAATATATAAAATATAATAAAAAAAAAATAAAATCTGCTAACTTTTTTAAAAGATCGTTTTCATATGGCAATTCCTTTGCTTTAGATTTTTAATCCAGCCTTTTTATCCACTAATATTTTAGGCTCGATATACTCCAACTTTCTGAAACCCCATGACAATTTTTGTATTTAGTTTTTATTACAAAACTTCCCGTTATATATATTAAATTCGTTATAATTCCAAGCTAGATGCAAACTTTATCTTACAAACTAATTTACCTGCACTAATCCTTTTGTATTTATTTTTATACAAAAAAAAAAATCTTTTCCTTATATACAAACTCAGACTTACTGGAAAACTAAATTACAAATACTTACATTCAAATAGTTTTACTTGGCCAGTTTGGATGCTTAGGTGCTAACATCCTGCAGCAGGAATGCATTGGAACTCGCACTACCAATCACAATCATACTACGACTATTCGGCAATACAAACACCTCAGTAGAGAGACCAATCGGACTCATCGATTGTGAAGATTTAATAGGACTGCGTTGTGGCTCAAGTGAACTTTTTTGTTGCCATTCACTAGAGTTCTGACCGTCACAGCTTCTTTGTTTCACACTGTCCAGGACGTCAGGAATATTTGCAGTCTCAAATTTCGATTTCTGTGTTTTGCTGTCGCTGTGGCTTAGACGCGTCGTGGTCGTCGTTATTGTGGTGATGGACTTGCGTTTGCGACGCGATATTGTCTCTGTCTTGAAATTAACAATTGTGTCTTTTTTTATCAGATTTTTTGTGGTTTCGGTGGTGCGTAGATTCAATTGCTGTTTATTACTGAGATCCGATAAACTTATATTATTTTTCAGTAAAATTTCCAAATTTTCAATTGAGTCCTTGAGCGTTGGTTTCTCGGTTGTTAGTTCGTCCTTGAAATCGTCCACATAAGTGCGAGGAAGAAAATTTGTTTTGCTGCCTCCATCCGCTGAATTTTCAATGGAGGATGAGTTTTTGGTAATCGCTGGCACATTGCCAATGGTTACTACACTCGAACTATTCGACATGCTCGGCGTTATGCCAGTGGAACTTGCTGTGGTGCCAAAGGAAGAGGAAATATTATGCTGACGGCATAGCGATTTGCGCCTTTGTGCAGTCAGGCTGTGCATATTTGAGTTGAGGTCAATGTCAGGTGAAAGATCTTCTGAGCCAGCATTGCTGCTGGTTTGCTTTGAGAAGGGCGCTGTTGATTGTTTTATTGTTGCAACGTCACTGGCCGGATTTGTGGCATGCAATGGCAAACTGTTCGGTATGCTTTCGTTCACGTTACTTACTGTCGTTGCTGTTGTTGTTGTGGCTGCTATGCAACTTTGTGCGGCAGTTATTGGTATTGTTGTTGCATTTGCAACAACAACTGGTGTTGTTGCAATTGGTTCAGTTTGTGGTAATTTTGCTTTTAAGAAATACGTGATCATGGAACCTTTGCCTTTGACATTGACACTGCCGCGACAGGTGAGTTCATAACCACGAGTGTCAAGAATTTGATAAATCTCCTGTGTAACCTTTGGTTAAATAAAGTAAAGAAAAATATTTCATATCAAATTTATTTCTTAAAACGCAAGGCTATATACTATGTGTATGTGTGTGTAAGTAAACAAACAAATAAATTATTATTAATGGCAAAATGTAGCGCAATATAACACTTGCAGGCGATAAGAGTTTGAAATGTGGGTTTGTGTGCAGTCATGTACTGGTATGGAAAAATAATTTATCTTTTATCCATTTTTAGTTATATTTTCGATTTCATTTCATGTGCCAATGTTTGCCATGTGACTTTGCTAGAGGACACATAGAAGAAGCACTTCAGTGTTAAAGAGCAACGAACGATGATGAGTGTTTCTGATGAATTGACAATTCTGGATTACTGAACTGTGACTGAATCTACTCCGAATTGCTTTTTTTGAGTGTTTGGAACTCATATATTGCAACGATGTTATTTGAATATTTATCGTAGCTCAAGGATATAGAAGAGATATGTGGGATTGTGCTATAATTCATTTGTATTTATTTTGTAAGTTGTCATTTTTCTGTAATATTTTAATATTACTTATTTTTAATAACTTCCAAACTGTTAGTCGATTAAAGAAAACTAAATGTCATGTAATCAATTCAGATTTAATCATTTAATTTTCTTACACAATTTACTTAATTCGATTTATTTGGTATATATCTGACAAAAAATTTAGTTTATTTTCTTTACTGTATGTATTTAGGAGAAGAACTAATGCACTTGGACAAATGTGCTTTATTAATTTTTATTGCTAAGAAATATTGTAAACTTGATTGAACATATTTTAAATTTATTACAACAATAAGATAAAGGATATATCTAATATATATGTATTTTATAAATATACGATATATCTCAAATGTATTCAAATGTATTCAAAAAATATGCAAAGCTTTCCATATTTTTAATATGATTTTCATACATTCATTATTATTCAGTAATCTCATCATGGATTCATTAACGTCATACTGCGTCGTGTTCTACATCAAATCAATGCTTAGCATAATAAGCAGAAAGTTTTAACAAAATATTTGATCTTCTACACCATTTATATTAAATGCATCGTCTCAAAATATAACGATGTTAGATTTTTGTTATAGATCTTGATCCTATGCTCATCAACGAAAGGTAAAAATATTCAATACAAAGAATACATTAGCTAATCATATAAAGTAAATCGATGTTTGAAGGTAATAAAACTCCTTGTAACCCTGTCTGAAAACTGGATAGTCAGAGAGAAAAAAATTTCGTAGCTACAGATAATATCATGTTATCAAAGCAGATCCAGATTTTCCGGGCACCATAACTTGAGAATAAACTTTTCATTACACTCTATGCTGATATGGCTGCGTTCTTGAGGTGTCAGATTTCATATAAGATAATAACACTATATTAAGGAAGATCTTAATTTCCTGAACACTGCGAAATAGCAATGGGTTTTTAAAAATTTCAATAACCTTCATTATGTTCCTTACCAAACTGACTTATATTTTGCGATGTTGCACTTAAATAAGATAACTCCACCATATTCAATAAGATTCTGATATCTTGCAACCGGTGTCTGGATAAAGGATTTTGAAAAATGTTAATACTCTTGGCAATTTTTTTTCACTATGCTCCTTGTCAATATAAATTTGCTTTTAACGGATATCGCACTTTAAATCACTGTCTAAGAAAAAATACAGATTTCTAGGATACACCGATTTGAGAATAGATTTTGGTGAATTTTAGTACTTCTAACAACTTTCACGACTACATTCTCTGCTCATATAGTTTGATTATTGAGATGTTAGACTCTAAATAAGCTAACATGACTCTATCAAGAGAAAACCTAATAGTGCAATGTACCACTATGCTTCATGCCAATATAGCTGAGCACTTTAGATAAGATAATGCTGTTGTAATAAGGAAGATTCTAATTTTCCGGGCATACAAATATGATTTCAAATGCAGGGTAGCAACAGTCTGTTTATATATGTACTCTCGTAACTGACCGTGTGGGGTAAAATGTTATGACGTCATGGGTCCTTTTCTTATGATGAAAAATTTATCGTTTACAATATTAAAGAATACGAGAGGGTGGGGACGATTTATAACATACTAACGAATTAATAAAACGTCATTGCTGTTTATTGCATTTCTTTGATACCAAGTAATTTATTATTATCACAAATATAATGATTTTATTTTAATAATATTTTGAGCAGAATATTACTATTGAAATTAAATGAGTTTATAGATATTTTATTGTCATTATTTTTAATTAATTTTAATATGTTGCCATGTAATGGATAATGTTACGCTTTGTGACAAATTATTGTTTGTTATAAAGTATCTCATAAACATTTGAATTAAAACATGTGGGAAAAATGCAATAATTATTTACAAACTGATGATTACCTGTATATGATCCACTAGGCCAGTAGAATCCATACGAGATGCAACATTAACAGCATTGCCCCATATGTCATATTGTGGCTTACGTGCTCCGATAACACCGGCAACGACAGGTCCAATATTAATGCCTTAGTTTTAATACAAATAAATACATAAAATAATTAATTAAATTTCATTGTTTTAAATTATATGAAAAAAAAATAAATATTTGTAAATATTTTATGAAAATTTATAAGGACAAAAACATTGTATTAAACTTTAAAATAAGGTCAGTTCATATACATTTTTAGTTTCAAACCAAAATATCTTAAACCAAGACCATTTGAATAAGTCGTCAGTTAGTATGTTCTATAAAACTTCTTCATTGAAGATACTTCTCAAGCTCATAATACGAAAGGAGTGGATTAATTAAATGAAATGTTTTATTGGAAAATTATTCAGATAATGAAGAATGAGAATTGTATAGTGATCAAGAGTAAGAAGTAAGAGTAAGAGTAAGATTAAAAGTAAGAGTAGAGTAGGACTAAGAGTATGGTTAACAGTAAGAGTAACAACTTCGTTGTTCTTATTGTAGCCCGAGAAGATCTGGTGGTATATTCCCCTTTAAAAATGTGATTGACACTGGGCTGTCAGAATTTACTAGTGACTCCGGGACATAAGCCCGTCACTTTGGAAGAGTAAGAAGCAAGAAGAGGAGTAAGAGTAAAAGTAAAAGTGAAAGTAAAAGCAAAAGTAAAAGTAATAGTAAGAGTAAGAAGCAAGAATAAGATTAAGAGTAAGAGTAAAGCAGGACTAAGAGAATAGTTAAGAGTAAAAGTAACAACTTCGTCGTTCTTGTTGTAGCCCGAGAAGATCTGGTGGTATGTTCCCCTTAAGAATGTGATTGGCACTGGGCTGTTAGAATTTACTAGTGAATCCGGGACATAAGCCCGTCGCTCTGGAAGAATAAAAAGCACGAAGAGGAGTAAGAATAGGAGTAAGAAGCAAGAGTAAGAGTAAGATTAAGAGTAAGAGCAATAACTTCGTTGTTCTTGTTGTAGTCCCAGAAGATCTGGTGCTATATTCCCCTTTGAAAGTGTGATTGAAACTTGCCTGTCGCTCTGGATCAAATTTTCTAAATTTCTTTTATCAATAGCTACGGTTTTTTTTTTGGTTAATATTTCATAAATATCCAAGAGTAGATTTCGAAGAAATATGACTTTTGTCTCTCACTCACGATTATTTGGTTGGGTATTTTTCTGAAGCTTGTCTTTCTTGTTATATGGTTTCATTGCAGTTTACAGTATTATCGGTATCGGTGAAACTAAATATGTTACATACTTTTTGATTAATTTTAATAAGCATTTATTAAATCATTAAATCATTTAAATTAAATAAGCTTATATGGAAGTGTATATTATAAATTTTTTCTTTAAACTTTTTATACCTACATAAAAGTGTTAAAAGGGTAAACTAGCTTTGTGAAGATATTTGTAACTCGTCAAAGGAAACGTTCTAGATCTTATAAACTCTACATATTCTTGAACGGCACAATGAGTTGCGCTTACTTAGCTCTGTTCGTTTGCTCATCTGTTTGTTTCAGTTTAAACTAATCCATTAGTTTTTAAGTTATTCAAATGGGACTTTAAACACATTGTTTTCGGAATTGGACTCTGCTCATTTATTGAATTGATCAAAATAAAACCAATTTGTCGCTAATGGTTAGTAATTAAACAACTATAGAACCAAAGCCGCTAAAAATAACTTGGGAAAATTTTTCGCCAATGAACTACAAAAGTTCAACACCGATGGAATTATGAAACTGCCCGTTTAATGTCAAGCGGTCATAAGTAATGAAGGCCAATATATAATCGCATAAAATTGATTTCTCATGAAGACAATTTTTGTTTAAAAATTTTCCATAAAACTGCGAATATTCTTCATATCACACAATTTTCATATTTATATCCTTACATATATTTTATATATATCTCTTTTATTTTTTCTTCCAGTAATTACTTTGTGTAGGCATTTATCATAATTTTGGTTTCTGTACTTATTCTCGCATTATACATATCCCACGCTTAGTGTTTTATCTTGTAACTATTTGGTATCAATATTCATTTATCTTATAAATTATTCTTACCCACACGCATCCGAAAATTATTGAAGGAATGCATATTGACCTCCTCGATTTTTTCAAATAATTGCAGCGAATAGTCCGCCATTGCGGTGACATGGCGGAAATTAACTTTGTCACATGTGTTCGCTGTTAAACCGGATGCCGCCATGTAAGTGGCACCAGTGCTTTTAATTTTCTCAATATAACTAAAAATTCGTTTGAAATAAATAAAAATGAAACATTAGCTTTCAGTAGAAATCATATTTATATTGACTTTATTACAAAAACTAAAATAGAAATGCACAACTGCAACGACAAGTGCACTGCAATGCCAATTACTTGACTTACCGAAAGCGTTCCTCACTAAGTAATTCATCAAAATCCGCTATAATTTCATTTAACAAGCGCAGACACTCGACACCTTCATTATTCCCCTCCAGTTCCACGTAAAATTCTGAAAAATTCGGTATTGAAGCGAATAATATACAAACGCTGTCGCATTGCTCGTGATACAAATCCTGCATGAAAATTGATTGAGAATGAATATTTGTGCATCCAGAAGTGCGTCAGTCACATATGTTGAAGGCAGTCAGTGTGTATGCGGTTGTTGTGAATGAAAGTTGACGACAATATACAGAGCAACAGCGACATCAGCAACATAAGCAACATCAACAACATCAGCCAGCACCAATAAAGATACCAAAACGAAATAAAATATTTAATGGATTAGAATGGAAATTTCAATTTAACGCTCTTGAGCATGAGCATCGAGTGCATCCTGCAGCAGCATGCACATAATGCATTACTAATGACAAAGGACGTAGTTATTTAGAGAAGAAGGATGTAAATTTCTTAATGGTTGCGTTGTCAATATAGTAAGAGCTGCAAATTGTGCTCATTTAATGGTTTCTCGACATTAATATATTGCTTAGTGGTGTGCCTTTGCCGCTAACTTGAGCAAATTCAATAAACGTTAGAACTCTTTAAATAATTTAAATGCAGTGGCTTTACAAACGCCAATGCCATTGGAGTTGGAAATACTCGTATCCGTACTCGTACTTTCAACTTTTACTTTTGTAGATTAATATTAATTGAATTTGGTTTTAGACAAATTTGTTGAAATAAATTTGGTGTACGAAATATATTGAATTTATTTGACATTTTACAATATAAATTGTTTTGTATATATTATAAAACGTCTAGTGTATGTTTCAACCTCATCATTTTGAAAGTTGAATTCAATTAAATTTTCTAAAGAAATCTTCAAAGTAAATTATATATACGTCAAACAAATAAATTATAAATGTTTTACTCTTTACTAAAAATTTATCCAAGCTTTAAGTTTCGATAATTTCCTCTCATGTTGATCAAAAATATATTGTCTTCATATCTTTTCATTATTCTACAAAAAATTTGATTAAACACCTTGAGGCATTTCTTCAGTTGCTGATTTTTTGTGAGAAAAACATATCGAATTCACTGAATTTTATATTTTAATCTACTACAAATTTTTTAAAAATTTTGCATATATTTGATGAGCAAAGAAGTAAAGTTTTTAATTACATTTTCTTAATAACTATGAGAAAAGTATCAATGCTTATGTAAATTCTCTCATTTAATCTACTACAATTTTGTAAAAAGTTTTAGAAAGATATGAAGCGTTTCTTTACTTAATAACTAGTTGTGAGGCAAACATTCTTTAAATGCTCGAATCTAAATGTATAAGAATATCTATTTTTCTCTACTATCTGCTGAACACCTTTCTTTTATCACAGACTTTAGAAAAATTGAAAATTATTTCTTCTATTGATGACTTCTTTTGGGAAAAGTATGTAAATATAATCTCTAAGCTCTCTAATTTCATCTACCACAAATTTTATAAAAATTAATTGACAGTTGTTTCATTACAATTATTTCAGGATTGCACAAATAGTCCTCTTAGCACATCTTTTCAATAATTATGAAAAAAGCTTAAAATCTATTACAAATTTCATGCGTATTTATTTTACACAAAAATTATATATTATATTATATTAAAAACTTCTATTGAAGATTTCTTGTGAGAAAAGCATATAAGCATAATCTCCGAACTCTCTAATTTAATCTACTACAATTTTGTAAAAAAACTTTGGAAAGATAAAGTTTTTTTAAGTAATGACTACTTATGAGACCTGCATAATCTGCTAAACAATTTGTAAAAAATTGTAGAGATATTTGAATTTTCCACTTTAATCTACTACAAATTTCTTAAAAGAATATTAGTAAAAGGGAGAAAACAGATCAACATTTGTATTTATTAGAAATCTTATTGATTATCAAAAAATGAAGCGACAGGCACGAAGTATGTGACAAAAGAATTGACAATTTGTTCAGATAGATCAATTTTATAAAGCTGGTAATATAGGTTCTGGTGAAACATCTGATAATCTACCAGCTCTTGAAATTGAAAGTAAAATTTTGATTTTTTGAGACGTTCTCTGTTTCTTCATAATCTGATATGTGGAATTTGTAATTATTTATTTACTTCAGTTTTTTTGCAAATGATTATAAATTTATTAAATATTTTGTAAAAGAATGGATTATGTAGCTGACACTTATATTTTCTACTATGATCTCGTACCATATTATAAAGTACAGTCCGTAAAGTACCCCTGGCACTACTATCTTGTAATAAATTCACGTTGGAACACAAGGAAGAATCTCAATGATTGTGAGGTAGTAGAATAACTATTACTTTGCGTCATCAATTCTTCGTGAATTATAAGCAATCATTTTATATATTAATATAAAAGCCAATAAATAACGATACGTATTTTGGCAATTAAATATGAAAAAGGTGTTAATGTTATTTACAGCTTTTCATATTAGGAAATTTCTTGTAATTCTATTAACTACAAATATTAAATTTCGGCAATAATAAGCCAAAAAAAAGTAACCTGGTAAAGTTGTACCACAAAAATTTCCAATACTTCATTACTTCACAGCAGAAGTGTGTAGAAATGAGCACAAACAAGTATCTACTTAAATATTCTTCCACTTCATCAGTGCTCTTTTCACATTAACATGACAAACTACATTAGATATTTACTGCATCGACGCCCACATCGAAACCACCTCCTAGCAGCTTTGGCTGGCAAACCATGCAAGAAAAATGCTGAGCTACTGAAATACTGAACATCATTTTGAACTTATTTTCCGACACTTAGCAGATTCGGTACTGTGGTTTACATGATGCAGCATAACGAATGCAACCGTACGCGCTTCTCTAGCCAAACCATCAGACCACCAACTCGCTTAACTTCAACTCCAATTTTATTTTCTGCTTCAACAGTGCAAAAAAACAAAAATTATATTGCACGTTCCTTAAAATTCGAGTACATAGACAGGGGAAGAAGAAGTACTTAGCTGTGAAAATCTACTCAAATGCACTTACATCGATGTTTTTATCTCTGCTCAAGAAATGCTCCGCAACATGTACTGGCAAAATGTTTTCCAACAGTTTCCGGTTGTAAGCTTGCAGATGTTCCATATCCTCTTTTTCCTCTGTGGCGTGCAGTGGAAAGATGAAATTGAAAGAAAGGAAAAGAAATAAAAGATATTAAAATGAAATTAACACGAAATTGTATTATCTTGCAGTAAGTGAATTTATAAAAGTGCGTATCTTTGTAAGTAGTTTTGTTTGCTTTTGTATCTTAACAGTCTTAACAGTCTTACAGTGGATGCATACTCGTATCTATGCATTTTCAATTTGTCTAATGCAACTAAAGACTGTAAACGATACAAAACCACGTTTAATCACTTTTTTTTTAATATCCTTCAATTGTAACAAATTGAATGAATCGTTTGTTCGTTAAATCCAAATCACCACACGCTCTCATGAAACTGTGCAACTGGAAATTAAAATGTAAAAATGTATCTGCAAATGTATCTACACATTTGCACCACTGCAACGGCTTTGTAAATACAGAAAATAAATGCTGAAATCAATTTTTAAGCTGTTGTGAATTTAATCATATTTTATAGTTGAAATAAAAACACAACCGAGAAATTGTAATTTATCCGGGGTTTCAATGCCAGTTTAAAAATGAAATTGTGGAAAAATTCTATAAATATAATTTTTAAAAATTTTTATCTCTGACTAGACTTGTTGCTTCTCTAAGTCAAGTATTTAAATTAAATTGTTATGTGTCAGAGTTATTTCAAAAGTTTTATTTGTCCTTTGTTATAAATGTTTTGATGAGGGATTGCTTTTCATGATATCTAAAATGTTTCAGATTAAATGCAGTCATCCTCTTCACACAAACATAAATTATACAGGGTTATTCATTTTGTGATTCTAAAAGTCAACTTAAATTAAACTCACCAAGTATCATACTAATAATACAGGACATTCAATACAGGACATTCTGCAGTACCTGATCATTTTAAGCTATTTCCTCACAATTCGTCGTCACAAAGGTAGCATAATGTCGGACATAACTTAATGGATGTTAGTTATTTAAACATAAAGAGAGTGCCAATTATACGCAAAAACATGATTCATTAGGAAACCTAATAGAAACAGATCAATGGTGACAAATCGCATGATATTATTGGTCAATTCAAATTACCAAAACGGGATACTACGGTTCGGGAAAATTTGAAAATTTTTGACTCAAAAAAGTCAAAACAGGACGTGACGACTGACTTGTGGCCACAATTTTTCTTTTTAATCCTTTTAATTTTTACAAGTTTTTCCACATTAATTTATTGTGAAAGATATATTCGGGAGAAAAAAATTTAGTTGGACCAAATAAATGATTGCAGAAATAGATTTCTATCGCCAAATCATTTTTTCAGAAAGAAATGAAAACGTTCAAAAACAATTTAAAGGATTGTCACGCCATGATGACATGTCGAAAAATCTGACGGTAGCTTCAATTTTTTTCTATTGAAGGAGCATGCTTTACTGTAATTTACCGTAAATGACAAATATGATATACATTTAAGTCGGAGAGTGCATACTTTTTAAAGTGATAGCACAAGTAGTAATGACCTGCAAAGCGACTAGATAAATTCCAAGTCTGCTTAGCAAAAGTAATAAATTTAATATTCGCATCGCATTGTGGGCTTATATCAATTAGCTTATGGTCTTAAAACTTCTCCTTCTATTTTCTTATAACCTTTTTTTATGAATCTGTAGAAATTAATTCTCAGCACCTATTAAGGGAATATTAGTCCCTTTCTGGTCTAGGTTATTAACCATTTCATTGCCTTCATGTTCTTCATGGCCTGAAACCCATTTTAAAACAGGAGTTTTGAAATTCTTCAAAATAATGAGAAGACTACGGCAATCCTTTACCATTTTCGAGGTTATTATTATATCCAGAAACTTTAATGCTACCGAACTATCTGATAGCATATAAATGTGGGTTCCTTTTATCTTCCTACAGGAATATTTCCTAACGTGTATTTCAATGGCATGCATTTCTGTCTGAAAAATTGTTGGGTAGACAGCCATTTGTCTTGATTTTCTTGAACTAAAGGTCATTTATTTTTGTTCTGTGGTTGCTCTGAACCAACTTTTTTTTTGCTAAATAAAAGTTTCAACGTTAGGAGGCATTTTTTTGACTACATATACGATAAATTATAGAACAGATACACTAAATTGTGTAAACATTTATAAAAAGCTCAAATGTATTAAGATTGAGGACTAATCTATTCAGGTTGCATTGCTTTCTGACTTTTAATAATAATAATAATGCATATTAAAAAATATATGTTGAATACTGATGCCAAATTGAGGGTCTCCTTATCTTCACAATATATTAGGGGACACTGACCTGTAATTACTTACGTTACTTTAGTTTATTGTAAATTAGTTTTAAAACTCATTTCCAGTGCTGGCAATAGCGTTAACTTTTCTTATAGTTAATGATCCGTCGAATGCAATATAATTATTAGTTTAAAATGACTTGACTTTTCTCAGAGTTCATTGTCTTCTTTGACAAAATCCTACCTTTCTGAGAAATTGAAGTGTGTTTCATGCTAATTAGTTAGCAATCTTTAGGAAAATTGTCGTTCAATGCTTTAAGATGTTTTATTTAATTAATTTTAAACAAGTTAATTACTTATTTTAAGTTCAAGCATTGAAGCTCTTTATTGTGCGCACTTTATAGTTGTACGCATGCAACACTTCAGTAAGCACTGGAAGTGACTTTTGCTTCATCAGGCCCCGACGAGATGCCATTCGGAGAAACTCAATTAATTAATAAATAATTAGACTTACCAGTTGCTTGTAATTTCCAAATGAAATCCAAACGGTAGGTGGCTTCTGTTTGGTGACTGTGAAAAATCAAAGCCAGCATAAATGCAAAAAGGAAAATTGAATCAATTATGTAACGCAGCAGTGTTTCCTCATTACTGATGCAGAGCATTCCAGAGCAGTAATAGCAATTCCAGCAGTCCAAGTAGCAATGGCAGTAGTTGCATGTGCAGTGGCACACATTGGAGCAACGTGGCAACACAGTGATGCAATGACAGCAGTTACATGAGTACCAATTGCAACCGACAATGATGTTGTTCCAGTCCATTAAAAAGTAACACCAGTGCCAGGATGAACGTCATAGTAATGTTTCGCAATAGCAAACAGGAAATGAAGAGAAAAATTATAAAGTTCGCAGTGAATTAAATTGTATTGAATAAAATTGTTAAAGGCACAAAGGTGGATAAAATAACTGCTAAATAGAATCTTAATGCATTTTACGAAGAATGCATGAAACCTTTTATGGCAGTAGGAAGAAGCATAAAATAATTCAAGCTTTGCAAATAGCAAATTTTATTATTTATGAATTCTTCAGTGTAATTTTCATACCATGAATTCTTGAAAAGTTTTTCATTTATTTTATAAATCTTCTATTTAATTTCTGATTTTTATGCATTAAACTTTTAATATTTAACTTACTCCAGCGTTAATTTAATCTCCTTTCGCGCATACAAATAAACCGTCAAGCCAGAGTAGAAAGCAGAGGCGAAAAATAGTAAAATTAGCTTCAACATAATTCGCAGAACCTGGTACGTGGCGCAGGTCATCATGGAGAGCAGTGTCAACAGCAGGAAAGTCTGTGCAAAATAATAAAAATATATATTAGAAATTAAAAAAATATTCCAGAAGCTCAAAAAGCTTTGACTGGAGTTGCTTGACTGTATGTCTGTCTGTTTGTTCGGTTCAGTTCGGTTCGTGTTTTAGGTGTGTGTAAAGTTTGTTAGCCAAAGCGGAAATTGCATATTAACTACAGCCAAAAGCCAGTTCCGCTGCATTGCACTCACATTAATTGCTAGAAAGTAATCACAGTGAAAATGAGTTTCGGTGGGCTTTGCTGATACTACAGTATATACTCCGGTGATGTTGGCCAGCAGGTCTAAAGTGAAGTTGCTGTAGGTCTTCATATTGTTATAGAATAGCAGCTCATTATAAGCCACTTCCTGCAGCTGCAAAAAAGTAAAATTAAAATTAGTTGATAACGTTGAGTTAAGTTTTTGATAATTACATAAAATTATAATTTATGCAGTATTTTGTGAGTAATATGAAATATAGTTAATGACCTTAAAATCATTCATATATTACTTCATTATCAATTAATTTTATTGAGATATTTCGATTTTTCAAATAATATATATAAATATTATAATATAATAAATTTTTTATTTTTCAAATTTTTTATATTTACTTCTTTGATAATAAATAGTATTATATTATATTTAATTTACAATAAAAACATATATTATATATCGTCGGGAAAAAAGTATTCGGCGATTGCTTTAATGATGATTAGTTGATTTTTAGTATGTATATAAAATTTCACTTTTATTTATATAAATGGATTGTCATAGCTGTAAGCTTTACATATACAATATACTTGTTATAAATTTCTTTGTAATTTAATTTAAAATAAAATAAAATAAAACTAATAATTATACTACTTACTATACTAAAAGGAAGGATTTCAAAAAAATTATTACCAATACAAAAAAAAAAACTGAAGATTGCACTGGTGTCTTTGGGAAGATTTTGTGCAGAATATGAAAAACGATCTCTATCATAAAGACCTATAAAAAAGAACTTTGCCTAGACCAATTTGGAATATAGGTTTAGATATAATATCCATTCTATTGACGAGAGAGTTCTAACTAAATTTTTTGTTGTTTTTGAATCACATACCCGATATACAAATGCAGCTTCAGATTGAGAGAATGCATAAATGCAGACTTTCTTCCTGTATACCATTAGATGTTAATCACAGTCACTGCAGCATTCCCGAACTTAGGGTTGAGGACAACCAATTTTTAGAGTACCTGAATCTTCTGGCATCAGATTTTAAATTTGCTAGGGTGTTTATTGATTCAAAATTTTGTAGTATACTCCAAAGCAGTACAGGGTAATGTCTAATGCATTTAACTCACCTGATACGATAATCATGCCTTTACTTGGGAATACCCAATCCCCTACCTGGAAGTGGGAAAGGGTGGGTATGTTCGAATTTGAGTAAAACATATTTAATGGTCTGAATTTCCAACAAGTCATTTAAAGCGCACTATAAATGGTGATGAAAAATGAATTGATTGTCAGCCGAAAAATCTGAAGTAATATATACGATCATAAACCCGAAATTGCTAATAAGGACGCTAGTGCAATGTATTTGGTTAAACTTTAAATGTATGATTGTGAATGTTATTGTTGGCTAATGTCTCGTGGCGTTATGATTTAATACAGTTACATTAGTTACCATGAATAACTAATGGGGTGCAAGCAAAAAACTGAGGAAGAATAAAATAATATTAATCAAGAGCATAAAAATGTCTTATTATATCAACATTAGACGTCGTTGTTTATTGTTTTACATAACCCAGCGAACCATCTAAAATAATTTATTCATTTAAGGTCTTATCTAGTAAGATTAAAGTCTTAGTTAGTTAGTTGAGGTGGAGGAAGGACGAGTCCTGCTCAAATAGCTAAAAAGCCGTTGAATCCACAAAAATCTCGTAATAGTGGAAGGTCAAATTAGAACCAGCCAGAGGCATTAACAAAGGCAAGAATCTGGCTAATGCTAATGCTGGAGATATCGTCAAGTGAATTGAAGAAGTGGGCCCCTAGAAACTTAAACCTGGCCAGACCTGGACAAAAACATCAGGTGTTCTGGTATCATTTCCTCAAGAACTGGTAGACACGCACTACAAAAAGTACCACAGGTTAGGCCGAGTCTAGCTTCATGCCGTCCTATGGACCAGTGTCCCGTAAAGACAAATATTAGCCTAGATACTATAGATTTGTTTCTACAGTTTAAGTTAGAGGTGCTTTATTTGGAATAAATTGGCCACGTACCCCTTGACCTGAGGCAGTAAGGGCCCACTCACTATTTGCCTGTCCCAAGGTCTTATCAGTAAAGAATATTTTTATTGTCATTAAATAATAAATTTGTTTTTTTTTTTGTTTGCTCTGTGAGAACTGAGAACTTTTTGTTGAAATCAGAACCATTAACAGTTATTTAGTATTAAATAGTTAAAAAAGACCCTGAGTGATGATTTTAGCCAAATCCAATCATGATTATAAACAAAAACTATTTATGAGCTACTCACCGAATATGTAAGTTAAATAGACTAAAGTTAGCAGTTTTAAAAAAATACCTAATTACTAATCTAGTCGTTATTTTCAAAATGTTTAAAAATCTTAAGTGCTTTTAAGTGCCTATAAACAGTTTGTTCCTAAATATTTACTTATTACTCAAAAGGAGTGTGCTAAGACTAATAATTTATGTAGAGTATTAATAACATAAAATATTGATCTTTTTTAAACTTTTTCAAGGAGTATGCTCCGAATAGACTAAAGACTACTTGACAAATTTCATTTTGGCACTTGAATGTCTGTCAAAAAGTGATTGAATAAAGTTCTTTAACAAGAACTTATGTCATTGAGGACTTTTCGGCATGGCTTCTGGCATAAATAAACATATTAAATTGCTGCAGCGGGAAAAAATTGTTGATTATGTCAACAGCAGCAACAATGTTTGCAGTTAACAACATAAATATTTGCGAACCAAGAAGAAGCAATCAATGTCACACTAAATAGTCGCCTATTTCTGGGATTAAAAGTGTATCGCAGTGATTTGAAAGTGGGAAATACAGGAGAAATGTCCTTTCCAGAAACAAGTTGATTATCCTTCAACTCAATTTCGATTTATGTCCTTTGATTGTGTCACGTATATATTTTAAAAACTTTTTATAAAAAAAAGTATATTTAAACAAAATTATGTTGCAAATTTAATGGCAGAATTCTAATAAAATTTGAAAGAGAATAAACTAGTGAGGATAAATCAGGTCGCTATGAAATGTGAAAACTTAAATATATAACAAATTTTTTTAATTAAAAATATTTTTTTTTTAAATAATATTTTGCTATTTAACTTTTATTATAAAAAGTAGCTGTTAAATAATATAAATATTTTATTTAAAGTAAGTAAAAAGTTTTCAACTTCAAAAAGGTTGAGAAACTTTTGCTTTAATCATTACTTGTGTCAAATGTCAAAATAATACTTCAGTCATATTTATATTATATAGTATATACCATATGTACAAATAAAACACATATATTACGAAAAACTTAGCTGAACTTTTATGCCATAAAATCATACTTTTGCTCTGCTAATGTTTACAAATGAGAATCTGATGACATAAATAAATACGAACTTTAGTACGAACGTTAAAGGGGAGATTTTACTTTAAGTGGATACTGAATTGTCAACTAATGACAGTTAAAAGGATTTCAAAGGACAAAATTTGCACCATAAATATTTGCATATCCAGAGCAACAATCTGACAAAAAAGAACTAGATGTCTAAAAATGACAAGGAGCCACAAATGCTTGAAAGGACGAAGTGTGCAATTGCTGTAGTGGCGTATTGGCGTAGTGGCATTCCCTCACACATCCATATGTGCACTTCAGCCAGCATTTCGCTTTCATTCAATTTTTTCAAGAGGAAAAATCAAGTTAAGAAATTTCTGAATTGCAGGCTTTTCAATTCAGTGGGCGAAAAATTTGGTGAAAAGGTTTTTTCAGATATATTTCTAAAGAACTTGTCTTTTGAGTAAACTTGGAACTTCAACTTAAATGATTGTCTTTTGATGAAATATAAAGCATTTCTTTCGATTTTTTTTTATTAAAGTAAAATTCGTTTTTTTATATATATCGATATATAATATCATTTTATTCAGAGTCTACCACTTTTCCACGGAAATTCGTTGGATTGAAAGTTTAAAGCTATTACTAACACTTTTTTTATAGTTTGAAACTTGAAACTAACAGTTTGATTTTTTTTCCTGTGGGTTCAAGTATTTCAATCCCCAAAAAGCGTAAGCCATCCATAATTCTTTCAATCGGTAGGTATGCTAAAAAACAGCAAAATTAAAGGAAACTGGAAAAAGACAGTTTATCCAAAGGAGGGTAGTTGGAAGTACTTCCATCTTTTGAAGTGCTTATAGGAAGTATTGACTTGAGAAAATATCGATATATTGGTCTATCGTATTTGTATATTTTAGGAAACGTAACGTACTGAATTTTGAGAATACAGTCAAACTTTCACAATTCGAAGTACTATTTTGTAAAGAAAAGGTTCGACTTATGGAGATTTCAGGTTAAGAAATTTTTTATTTCTTTTTATTTTTGAATGAAACTAGAATCACATTTTAAGATATTTATTTATTGAAATCAAATACAGCACGGAAGTTATAGTGAAGTGAAACATTTATAAATTATTGTTTGGGATTTTAATTTTTTTTTTTAGTAAAAAAAGATTCCAGTTTATTCCAAGTTATTTCGTTTGTAAATATATTATAAAAAATTTTGAATGTGTCTTCTACTTCATTCTTGGAAGGCTAATGTACAATTTCATTTACCAAACCCTCATCATTATTTTGTGCTTCACTTAGAACCGAATCAACTAATTCAGAGCTATATTGTTCAATAATATCGTCATCTGTAAAGAAGCTTGATGTACAAATTTCATAGTTAAGTTCAATAAATCGGAAGCATTGAAAGTTATTTTATTTACTTTAATCCACGCTACCAGCAAACAACTTAAAAAAAAAGTTAAACAATTGATTTGAACAAAGGGGCCTACCCTAACACCAAAATGGATTCATACTAAAAATAAAAATTCGACTTATAGAATGCACTTTCCACATTTCTATAAGCGCGTGGCAATATTCATTATCAAGTTAAAGGGAAATTCGAGTTATAGAAGTTCGAGTTATGGAAGCAGAATTGTATGTAATTTGCTCTCTAAAATTTTGTAAAAAATTCGAGTTATAGAAGTTCGAGTTATAGAAGTATGTTGAAAATATGAAAAAAATATTTCTAAAGCAACTATCTACAGATGATAACATCAATTCTATCTCTGGGGAAATATAATTTTATTCTCCAGAGTAAAATATTGGATTTGATTCTGCCGTCAAGCCATAACAAAGTGCGTATTCAATATTTTTCAGGACCAGTGCCGATGTGCTAATGCATCAGCTAACCTGCAAAATGGTTAGACACAACCATATCTATCGATTAGGGTTTCACTTCTGTGTGTTCTGTTCTGAAAAAAGGCGAAATTTGAATAACAGCGTTGCATGGTCAGCCAAATTTCAATAAATTAACTTAAATTTTTGTTGCTGTCTTTTCGTCTCTATTCAAACCCTTCTAATTTATAAATCTTTTTCTGATTTGTTTATTTATTGTAAATATATATTATTTTGTTAAATGAGAGAAATGAATATTTCAAATTAATGGCAATTATTTTTTTCTGCGAACGAAGATACTCAGTTGTTTGGAATATTGTGGTACAACTTTAATAAGAGCAAGTTATACATAAATTGACAATGACAATGAAATTGCATTAAATATAAAATGCTTATATATTTCTTTACAAAAAAATTTGTTCTGCAGTAAAACTAATTTTCAGAGAAAGGTATTGTATTTCATATTCCAAAATAAATGCACTTACCATGGACAGGACATTTGTCAGTGCTATCAGTGAAACTGTGCAAAATGCAAAACATTGTGATAGCAAACGATTCCGATGAATTCGTAATGAAAACCTTTTGATGCCAATTGGAAACTGTGGCCATGTAAAAAAATTGCATAAAAAGAGCAAAGAAAAAAAGCATTTTTTTTTAAATTATTTAAAATAGTCACTTAAAAATTAAATGCTTCACTTGCGTTGTGTGCCTATATGTGACATATAGTCGCTGTGCATCGCAACGTATCTCATAATGTACTTAGTACATAGTTACTTACATTCAAATTGAGTTCATGACAGGCAACCAACAGAGCTATGAGCATCATGATACCCAGAGCCAGACTGGATATAGCCATATTCAGCAAATTTCTGTAAAAAACAAAAAAAAATCAAGGAAAAAATTTGTGTGAATACAAAGGAAAAATGTCGAAATATTCAAGTGTAAATACAAAAAGAACTCAAGCAGAAATGTCGGAAATCATTTTTTTCCTCTTAGCGTATCTTTACAACAAACAGTGAGCATGCATTCGACTGTATGTTAAAACGTTTCACTTACGGTTGAAATACAATTAAACGCATTGCCGTGGTACCCAGCATCACGACGAAGCTGCAGTAGAAGTAAACACTCAGCATGCGATCAGGTTCGGAGGCGTACTTTTTAATTAAATCGCATAACATTTTTAATTTTTTTCAATTTTTTTCAATTTTTTTCAATTTTTTTCCATAAGCGCACATGTAAATATGAAGATAGCAATTAGTGTCAATATTCACAAAGTAAATACGGTACATTATGACATACTTTCTTCTCCAAGGAGTGGTCCTTGAATGACAGCAACACCGACTGACAGTGCTCGGCGCGCAAATGATCAATGCTGCGTGCATCGATGGCTCGCATTAAATACTCATTGACTTCATCTTCGGGATCCTTATTGCATTCCGCGCTGTCACCAAAACCGAATCTGTGGGAATTCAAAAAATTATTCATTAGCTCAACAGCCGAAGGGTTGATATTCCCGCCCACACAAACTTACTTTGAAGTATTCTTCTGCACGCTGCCGTGGCCCATCATGCGTAATTCCTTGGAAATATTACCATTCACTTGCAGGCGATTCCGCGATTTTTTGTGCTGTGCGTAATTAATTTTAAATATAATCATGAAAATGACAATTATAGAAATAATGAAGGAACAGAATATTTTAAATGTAATTTCTGTAATTTTCCGCAATTTCGTATAATTTATCGGAATATTGAGTTTACTTAGCTTAAGTGCTTTCACGTTTGCGGCAACACGTTACAACCGATTGTCATGTTGTCAACCGATTGGTGTGACGTAAATGCCCAATAAAAATTGCAATTTTTTTTTTATTTACGAGTATGAACATTAATTTTCACTTCCCCACAACGTATGCACGTGCACGTACGTGAGTGTATTTACAATTGCAACTTACCGGTCTGTAAGTATCGCCGGGCACTATTAAATAGGTTTCAATTTGATGGTCTTTTAGGTACGAATTCCTATCAGCACCTTTGCCCTCTTCCACTTCGTAGTCGCCGTCCAAGCACTTGAGTGTTTCCTTGGTTATGTGCACTCGACTGGCAAGGCAGATAAAAGCAGAAAAACATGGAAAACATGAAAATTGCAATGGAAAATAAAAAAACTACATGAAAAATCAGCAAAGAAAAAATATATTGCATTGAAAAATTAAAAAAATTCCTTGAAAAAACAGAAAAATTCAACTAAGGATCATTTAAAAAAAACAAGTAGAAATTTAAAAAATATTATGAGGATATATCTAACCAGTGAAAGACTTAAGTAACACATACAATGTAGTATAAAAATGTATTTTTAATTTCTTCCGTGTAAAAGAATTTCATTTTACACGGAAACCTCTTTTCAATTTTTATATCCTTTAATGCTTCGTTGCGTTTTTCATGAAACATAACTAAAAATAGCTTACGAATTGCATTCTTCTGTACTTACAAGACTTAACATCTCATGATAGTCTCACCGGATTGCAGTGGAAAATCTTGTGTTGAGTGTTCATTTGAGCAGAACTGCAGCAGCCTTCCTCTATAATTAGCTTGAAATGCGTAAATGCACTTCCGCTTAAGTCGATAACTTTCGTTTATTGAATGCACTATGAAGTGCAATTCAATACTGAGCAATTGCAAATGCATTAGGAATGCAATAATTGTAAGTAAATGTAGTGAAATAACTCAATTACTGCTTGAAAATATGATATATTATTATTCTTGTAGTAATAAAGTAATGACATTTTAATGAAACACAGGAGGAGACTTTTAACACAGCTACTATAAGCCTTAATAATAACAAAAAAAATCAAAAAAAGAAAATTCTGAGTACGTAATGTCCTTAGGTTATGCCATTGCTTTAAAAAAATTGGAATAATTTTATATATGTAATATGATCACCTTAATCTATAAATAAGTGATAAGGTAACCTTATTATTGATAACGCTCATCCCTCTTAGTACTACGTTAATACATGTAAATCATTGAATCATTGAATAAAGAACATTATAATACTCAAAATTTATTTTGCGATTGTAAAGATAAAAACTCGGGTGTCTCTTGGATGAATATATCTAAACTATACAGTAACGTGCGTATTTAATATTTAGTTGGTGGTTTGTATATCGTAGAAGACCACTAAACTGTACATATTTATGGATCATTGATAATAAGTACTTAAACCACTGTATGGTCAGTCCAATAATCTTTCTGTTATAAAAAAAAAAATTGTATTCATCATTATCATGTGTTGATGTCATGTTATATCTATTTTACTATGATTTCTAACAAAAAAATAAAATGCTTATGTTTAATGTAGAGACTACATGAAGGAGAACAAACTATATATTTATACGTACTTTTTCAAGCTCAAAAATATTTATGAGCTGTTAACATTCTCTAGAGGATATATACAATTTTTTTAAGAACTTCAAAACTAGAACAATTTTTAATGTCTCTACTAGAAAAAATTAAAAACACTTACATACTGTTGAATATAAAAGAGTAGGTATGAATATAACGTGGGTGGGTGTGCGAAGTTCGCAGAGGGCGCAGCCCCCTAGTTTAACTAAAAGTAAATATTTGTATATATAAATAATTTTTTTCGTTGTGAAATTGTCCATACAAAAATATATAGCTTTGTCATTATAATATGAAATTAATTGAATAATTTTGGTCAATATAACTTGACGAAACCATTCAAAAAAAAAATGAATATAGTTATACTTGAACAAAATATCGAAATAGCTTAGAGCAGCTGTCAACCTAAAACGATGTAAGGCTTTTATGTCACTAAGTAAAAGTAATTTAATAATCACTACAAGAATTTTGATAGGGCATTGTATGTTAAATTATCATCTTACTTATAGGTTTACTACGGAAGGGAATAAGACCTCTAAAACTTGCTGGGAGTTTCCTTCGCACTGACACAGTTTATGAAATAAAGCACTTTATTGTAGGTTTAATAATGAATATTTCATAAATATTGGATTGGAAGAAATACTCTGAATCCATAGACAGTGCACAATTATTCTCTAGATCCTTTGTAAAATTCCACAAGAAAATAATATTAGCTTAATGAATACATTTAGTCGATTTGTATATCAATTTTTTGAAACATTTCTAATTCTTATATTCATAAGCATCAGGAGGAGAATACTAGGTTGGAATTTGTTATATCGCATAATAACCAAAAACTCTTAACCGATGATATTTTTGAATCTATACAAAAAGCTGAATATCTTTTATTCAATTAAAGTTGACGTGTAGAGCAAAAGATCTGCTATAGTCACATTACTCTGTCAGTACGGAGTCAGTTTTACTTAAAGCGCCTTTTTATTTGGCTGTGTATGTATATGATTTTGTCCTTTCAGTTGGAGCTAAAGCCTCTATTTGCAGTAACAATATGATACTATTAGAGACAATTTCTGTCTTGTGTGAATTCATGAAATGTGTAAGCTAATTTGTAGACATTGCCTTAAAAAGTCTGAATATTACTGGAATGCTGAATATTTTTTAATGTTTCATTTCGTCAAAATATAACTGCTTTTATATTGTTATTATATACGGTATTTATGGGGATCTACATATTTTTAATTGAATGAAGGCATGTTAGCCTTAATATAACATCTTTATCTACTATTAACAGAGGAAAAGCCTGGATTGAACAAAGTGGTGGATATACTGGAAAAAGTTTTATTTGTGGCGTGTTATTGTAGTTCAGTAATTTTTTTCGAAGAGGAGGGAGGAGAGGGGGAATCTATCACTGATTATTAATAACACTCATTCTAGATTCTTAGTTTCTAATAGAGTGACAGGAGAAGATTCAACTCCATATGCTCTAAATCTACAATGCAACTAAATTTGTTAGTGTGTTTATGTACGAAATCGTCTATTAAGGTAATCGAATGCAGCTTTGTACATCTTCCCATCACATCTAACAGTAAAAGGCAGATTGTAGAGTTTTATCAAACAATGCATTTGTTATTTATCCATCAAAACTCATTGTAACTAAAAGTCATGAATTGCAAGTAGCACTGATTGAACAGAACTGGCCCCCAGTGACTCTTTTCTATTTTGAAAGTTGAAAGATTGACTATGAAAGCAACAATGTTTTTGCAAAGAAAAAGCAAATTTCGCCGTTCATAAATATTTTGAACACCTTAACGCAATGCACAATTTACTCGTATAGATACCAATTGGAGTATCGTTGGGAAATGTTTATCAAGGAGATAGATTTAGAAGAAAAATGAATAGTAAAATATTCAGAATAATTCTTTCTCTTTTTATACTAAAAAATTATTTAAAAATTTCCTTATAAACATGCTTACAATTTGAATATAATCTTAAACATATGTAAAACAAATCCAATAGAATAAAATATTATCAATTAGTCTAAGTGTTTCTGTGACTTCGAATTCTCATTGGGTTCCAATGTCTGTAGCAGTCTATACGTCCAGTCTTTTCCATTTATTTATAACTTACAGAGCTAAGCATATCGTGATGTGACTGTGAATACATTTTTGATTGGGCTTTTTCAAAATAATAAATCAAACTATCTTGTGCTTGTTTTTTATATAAAGAATGTCAGTTAGGGATCCTAACAATCAGTCAAGTTATGTTATATAACATAACTTGGTCACAATTCTAAAAGAGAATCACAATTATTGTGATTCGACTCCATTTTAAGACGATGAAAATCTTCTTTCAGCAATTCAATGCATTGTGTAGCAAGTCCTTAGCAACTCGGCCAAATTGCATAAATCACACTACGAATTGTTTCCTCACTTACCGTATTGATTACTACCTATTCTCAAACCTCAACAAAATAAAAAATACTTCACGGAAAGAGATTTGATTCCAAAGAAAAAGCGATTGCCGAAACTGGGACATATTTTAAGGTCAAAATTAATTTCTCTACAAGAGAGGTACTTAAGGTTTCGGAGAAGCGCTGAAATGTTGGTGTTTCTATGTTGATGGATAAAACTGAATGTTTCCAAAAAGCCAAAGCTAAATCATGCTATAAAAAACGTAACGTAATGTTAGAGATGCGCTGGAATAATCGTTTTAATATTAAACGAGACTACATTGATCTATAAAGTAGTATTGTAGAAATATTGTTTTATAGGTAGCCCTACGGATTTACCAAGCGATGTGTTATATATATTATATTTTTATTAACGTAATTTCATTATTATTATTATAGTTCTTATTTAGTAGTTAAATAAGAATTTTTGAATATTTCATTTCGTTCTTGGTTTTTATTTCGCTATTCGATAATTGTGTCGCTATAGTGTAAACACTTGTGCTATTCTCACTAAATATGCTGCATTAGTTGTGAAGTATACTATATACATAGTACTATACGTATTCCAAAAATGCCAATAAATTGCTTTTACCTACTATAATTTATGCCGGTAATTCTTAAGTTCTTCTATGATTAAGATTATCGGTCTTCAGTTAAATAATTATTTACGTTGTTTATTTCTTTAAGTAATAAATTATAGTAATAAATTCTGTTTTAAAATTTCCACATAATTTTAATATCTTGTTTGTAGTCTGTTTTCTTTACGCTGTCTTTATATACACTTTCTTATTTTACACAAACCTAATAAGCTCATCTAAACGAACCTAAATAAACTTTACTCGTATTTAATGTATGAAGAACAACAGAATTAAATAATGAACAGTGCAACAAACAAATAAACAGAAAAATCCTTCCCCCTCTGTGAGTACGAGGACCCAAATTGACTACAGACACATTAAATACAAAGCAAATCAACTAGAAGAATGGTGCCGTCTACAACTACACAACAACAAAGTCTACAACAAAATCTACAACAATGCAAAAACACAATAGTAAATTTAGTACGGATGTGTTGTCTTTGCCGGGCTGTGTTGCCATATCTACAGAGTTGACTGCGGTCGTTGCCGCCTAAGCTATAGCATTAATCGCTTCCACCTACGCTTGACTGTATTTGTGCACAAGTGCCGTAGTGCTTTAGTGCTGTAGCAATATGGCAACCCTGACAGGCTAATAAGACAAAGCCGACACAAATACTGTGCCGACATTGCTTACTTGAAAGGAAGGAAACAAGTTGATGCCTAATCGATTTAAAAATGAAATGTCCTTAAAGTTGGAAACGACTTTGCATGCACGTTAAGAAATGCTTAGACGCTAAGACAGATTAAGGCAAAGTGGAAAATGACGAAACACGGCTGTTATATAAAAAACTGTTCGATAAAGAATTTAAACTTTGTTGTGCTAGTTTATCAGCATTTTTCTATTTTTATATCCTTTAAGGAATAGTTTACTTAAAAGGTTTTCGAATTGTGTTTCTTGCCGTAGTCAAGTAGAGAAAAATATTTAAAAGTTGATGGGAGAAAAGTTGGTTCGTGCGAAAATATAATTAAAATTTATAAAGAATCTCAATATTGTTTAGTTTTTTCTATAGAAAACTT